AAAACCTAAAAAGTGTTGTGTGCAAAAGTATTTATCTTTTCACAATGGGAATGCCCATTGCTCCGTACAGTCTGTCCACTCCTGTTGCTTTCTTTGCATGTGAATCACTTGCACAGTGTGTGTTTGAGGACAATATTGCCCCATCTAAAAATCTAATAAAATCACAGTATATACCCAAATTCAGACGCCCAAAGAAAAACACCATTTAGCATGTCCATTAAACAGCCCACAATATTGTTTTTAATGCATACTTGAGGAGACAGCTGCTTTTTGTCTTTCCTCTTTTGGAGTATAGCGTGAATCCTCCACTGGAGAAGGCAAACAGTCATTTCCGAGACTGCAGGAAAATTGCTGATGTAGCTGAGCTGAAGCTGCTGGAGCAAAAAGGCTGCTGTGAATTAACCCATGTTGACTGCCACTGTTCTGCTGCCACATCTCAGGAAGCAACAGATGAAGTACAAACGCTAAGAGATATGGCTTCCCTTCAGGATATGTTCTGTTCACCAATATGGACAGAGCTCCAAACTGTATACAGTTCCATACATATGTCACTTTACAATAGAGCAGCACGATGTATACATTCCAAATATATTCATTGTGATATGAGCGTGATATCTCAATTCTATTGAGTGACTATTAAATACGATTAGATCAACAATAAAACATTTAAATACAATACAAAACACTTATTTAGCACTGATGCAAAGTTTTGGACCGAAGTTACAATGTAGCTTAACCTTCAATGCTAAAGTATAGATAATATCTAATATGTTTCATGCAAATATAATTTCATTAAGGATTGAAAAAACTGCAGTCCTTGACACCGCTATCATGTGAACCCCTGTCCCAAGAAAAATGTCTCTTGCAGAAGACATTAAAGGTTTATCTTTTCTTCTCTCACCCTTTTTTCAATATTGCACTGTTCTACACCACACAACTGGACTCAATTTGGCTCTTCCCACAAACCGGTCAGATCACATTTGTCTCAATGTGCATGAGGTGCGCAATGGCTTGCTTCACTTGCACGCTTTTGTAACCAACTGGACGTACACGCCTACATTCACCTTCTCCTCTCTGCCTTTTGGCACACTTCTTTATGTGGACATTCTCCTGCTCTGTACAAACAGGTGATCTACATGTCTGAATCGGTAAGCTGGGCGTGGCAGTGGCCAAACAGCCTTAGCTCCTGAATTTATCCAGACAAACTGTGGGTAGACATGGGTGTTTATGAAAGTCATAAAAAGTCAACCTGGCTCTGTTTCCTGTGTCTAAAACTATGATTGTGACATTGTTTGTGTAAACACTACCAATAAACAGGTCTTCTGAGACACAATCCCAGATCTCTGCAGCATTTATCATTTTCTCCATATGAAGTTGATGCATGCAGTCTGAGCAGATGACCTGCTAAAAGAAGACGCTACTGATATGTTGCTTAAAAACAACAAAAACAAGGGAGACATCATGCATCTAGACCAGCGCACTCTGGACAATCCCTGATTCAAAAAAACCTTAGAAAGAGGACAGAAATGAGACACGTATAAACCATCATCACAGCATGGACCTAATATAGACCACATAGGATTGCTAAATACATATATGTATTAAACGGAGACGCTGTAAAGCAAATAACAAAAACGACCAGGCTCCTTATTCGAATAGCAGAGTGTTTACATGACGACGGAAAACAATGTAGTTCTAGCGCCCGGCCAGTAGTGAGCAATGGAACTTTCAAAACATGACACACGTGACCTGCCGTCATTGTTGTCTACTTTTGTTCTTGGCGACTGCGCAGCACGTCCTCCCCTGAAGGAAAGAGCTGTGGCACCGAGCAACAGCTCATGGCCTGCACAGAACTTCATCAAACATGTTTTTTGATGAAGTTCATAGCCCAGTGCTAAGTTGTCAATTAGCACTGGGCGATAAAACGATTACGATATATATTGTGATAGACATGTGTTCGATATCAATAGAAAATGGGGTCGATAGAATGTTCAATAATTTCACTTAACTTTGTTAGAAAAAAACACAGTGGCTTCTCGACCTATCACGGCCGAGTATGAAAGACAAGGCATTCTGTGGAAAAAAAACAGCAACACCAACGAGGCGTTCAGACCGGACTATGCGTTTTCGTCGCACTCGAAAACAGCCAAAACAGGGGCTAAACCAGAATTAAACCAGGATTAAACCGGAATTACTGAGTGACTGTGCTTGTGAATATGCTCCCGGCCTGAGCTCTCATTCCTCCATGACTAAACAAGTGCTGCTGACGTGTGGGCCGACACGACAAACATATGTATTTAGGTTTCAAAAACAAATCAATCATTATTGATATCGACTGATAGGAAACATTTATATTGTGATATAGTTTTCAGCCATATCGCCCAGCCCTAGTGTCAATGTGTGTTGTCCATGTGAAGCGCTTTGTGACCCTGGTCTATAAATGGTGCTATATAAATAAACAAATAAATTCATGCCTCAACACAAAAAGGACATTCAAGCTGAAGAGGGACAGTAAAGCAACACAGAAAAAAGAGGGGTGTCAAATAACAGCTGGAAAACTTTTTTAAGTCCATACTTTTATGCCAAGGTAACATTGTTTTATTTGTGGGATGAATGTTTGAAGCACATCTTTTGAATTGGTGGTGGTTTTGTAATAACTGTTTTATTATTAAATTATATCAATATTATGATCATAAGACTACTTTTATTGATTATGAGTTTGGATATGAATTAATTTCTAAATTGGTTGGCAACTTTAAACTTTTGCTTTTTTTTATAAAACCATGTGAATTCTGTGAAATCTGTGATGTTGTTTGTGTTTTTGTACCACCAATAAACAAAAATAATTAAAATAAACTGTCCTCTCAGACACAAACTCTCCATCACTTGTTATTTTCTTCACTACTATTATTAAACATTCTCTTGTCACAGAGACTAAACTTCCAAGTTAAGTGTTCAAGTATTCAAAAGCAGTATAGTTCACATTTTCTCTGGCAGCAAAACCTATTTTTTAGCTTGTCAGCCAGACCTGCTCAGGCTGTGACCATGAAATGACCTCCAGGCCTTCCCTTACAGAAGAAATTCTTCACACAAGCAATGAAAATATGGTTATGCAATTTTTCATTCTCATTCAAGTTTATGAAGACAATAGTATAAATTAGATAATTAAGAATACTTTTTACATGTTTAATCAATTCATGTGAGGTCTTTCCAAATGTTAAATAATGCTGTTGTGTATGTGTTGAAATGAATGTTACATTCAAGTACAAGTACATTGTACAATTGATGCTGCGTAATGCATGGGTCACAATCAGCTGCTAAAGAGAACAAAATCTGTGGTGAGTTGTGATTAAAAACATTGCCATGCAGTGCTGACTGGGCTTTATAGCTCCCTCTTTCCTGGACTCCCCTCCCCCTCTAACCAAAAACAGCATCAAAGCAATCAAAATGGTAATGTTAGGCATGAATGGGGCCCATCCCCCTCCCTCCCTCCAGTATGAAACTCTGTAGACTTTTCCTTCTCCATGTTACAGGGGAGGCCACCCCTTTCTTCAAAATGGAAGCTTCCACTATAAAACTGAGAGAAGCAGGTTGGCCACCAACTACGCCAACTAGCTCACAATAAATAAGTTATATCAAGACGAATATTGTTCACATCAATCCATGTTTAAGTGTATTTTTATCGCTACACTGACAAAGGCTTGAACGTGTTTAGGGCCCACTCGAAAGAATAGAATAAGTGGTTGCAGTGAGGACTGTGACAAAGCATCAGCGCAGCAGACTGAGCTCAGGAGCTGACCGAGGTCCTGAAAGCTGTGTTTCAGCAGCAACAGCTCCACAGGACACACTCGTACTTCTATGGGCACACCATGGCAATGAGGGAGTAAAAAAGTGAACGTGAGATCGTGGGCGAATCACAATCACTGATTCAATCACGTGACCTCCGAGAAATAACGCTAGCCGGCTAAGTATAAAGTAACAAAAAGCCAGTCGAAGAGCGATATAACACACTGAAACACAACATGCTATCGACATGAGCACTTATTCAAGCCAAGAAAGACACTAACCTACTTTTAAAGTCTTAACGGGATAGTTGGCTAAGATGTTCCTTTGATTATGCCAACCTTATTCTCGAGAAACATGTCGACCAACTCAAAATGGACGCTAAGTGTTCAACATTACACAACTTTAGGAGAAGAGAGCAGAACATGGAGTAGAGTAGCAGCAATGTCTAAAAGCAACAATCTGTATAAGTATGTCGTCTCTATTATAGCCGAATCTGAATGAATGTATAGAAGCTGATAGACTGGAAAAATATTTGTTTGAGTCCTCAGTCTGATGGGCAATGTAATGTCAAATTAACAAGAAAACACACACAACTCAACACACTGTAAATCATATACATAAGTTATCATATACAACTATATTGACTTGCATGTGTCTGTGCATTTGTAAGAACCGGATAGTGGCGCTGAGCCAAAGAGGAGATATTTCAGCTGATAAAGTTTTCTTGCATTGCCTATTCCTCAATCCAGAACCCCATGTTGAAGCCTCGATAGATGTATGGGAGTAATGGTGTAAGAGTACCTCAAATTGTGCAACTAGTTAGACGATGGAGGGGCATGGGTGGGTTAGAAAAGTGCATCAGAAAGTCAGTAGACTATATAAATGTATGGCCAGAGCGATAATGTTAACAACAACGATGCCGTTCTATCGCCTCATAAATATTCAGGTCGCGTCCCGTTCACCACATAGCACCGCGGCATCATTATTCCAAATTATTGTTGCTCGAGAAAAGAGCAGCAATTCTTAGACAAAGTATGGTGAAAAGTACACTTGATGAGACTTGGAACTAGCGTCTTGTCACCGATAGACATGATAAAGCGGCACGTCGCATAGTTATTCCAGTGTTAGTTAACCTTTCATCCCATCTATATCCCCATCTGCTCTCACTTGCTCACAACACCAACACTGACAGAATAACACGATGTTTCATTTACCTGATGACATTGGATTTCTACTTTCAACGCCTCTTGTAGGCCCTGTAGTTCCATGTTCCGAATAGAAAATCACTTTTCTCCCACTTTCGATGCGGTCGTCACAAAGTTTAAGTGAATTGAAGGTTTTTAAAGCGACAATAACAATTGAAAGAAGAACTACTCCGACTGCAAGGCAAGTTCTCGCTTCTTTTACAAGCTAGGACGCATCACCCACTTTCCGCCCGCCTCAAAAAGTGATCCAAACAAAACAAACTGCCCTTTTGCCTCGTGCGTATTCTTTCTTAAATACATCCGAACGCGGGGGGATCTTCTAAAGAGGTGGGTTAGGAGCTTATTTGTTCATTTCAAGTTGAAAAAGGAGGACTATATTTTGTCAGAGTCAGCGCCTTGATTTCACTTTGCCTGGAGAAAAGTAGCGCTTTGGCTGTCAATGGTAATTCTTAAGTTCCCGGATGGAGCCCAGGGCTTAATGCGCATGCGCAATGAGTCTTCCAAAACTTGGAAAGTATTGCAGAAGGAATGTTTGTTAAATCACTCGAGTAAACATGCAGGTTTTGCGTCCCAATTACTCTTTAGGTATATCAACAATTAGACAATTTATGATTATTAACAATTTAGATTATGTCAAAAAACGTGTTATTATTAATTTGTCTTTACAGCACTTTGGAAATGGTTTGCTTTTAAATGTGTTCTACAAATACAGCAGTTTGGATTATGGAAGTAACATACATAAATTCAAAGATTTCCATTCCTAAACTTCCAATACCATTGTGTGGTCTAAGTAGCACCATGGAGAGCGGAATTTGTCAAAGGCAACCTGTCTTTTTTTTAAAACTTGATTGTGAAGTAGAACAAGTTTCATCAACAGATTGAAGATTGTGAAATAAGCCATAAACCCTAAAAATAAAGTTACAGATGGGGGACAGCTTGCACCGCTGACAGAAAGTAGTCCCCCGCTTACCCACCCCCCTCTTTTTCCTGCCTCTCTTTGCTCACTGCCTGCTCCAACCCTCCCCCACACCAACCAGGTCTGCTGCTACATCAGCTGCTACTTTTCATTTCACGGCTCAACGGTGAAACTCCTGAAGTCTTCTCTGTGGTGGCTTTTGGGTTCAAGCTGCTGAGTTTTTAAGCTGCTCTTGTCCTAAATAAACACATGTCAGATATACTCACTGTAATTCTATATTATTGTATTATACAATGTAAAACATGGTCATACTCAGTGTGTATTTCTTTTTAGTAACCCATTTTTGATCAATTGACACATTAACACTGGACTTGCAATTGTTTAAAAGGTGTTCCCATTTTATTTATAATGGGTCAAATATTTATGATAATGTTGCTCTTGTAAATTGTTGTCAAAAATTGAAGTGTAGATTAAATATAGATGAAGAAGATATATTGATGACCACAGACAACACTGACTCTTGTACAGTGCTGGAACATTGAAGTGAAGTAACACTTCAGCACAGAAGCTCTACATAAAATGAGATCAAGCGAAGCAAAAAAGTAAATATCTGTACTATTTAAGATAATATAAGATACACTTTATATAATCTCACAATGGAGAAACTTACAACTTACATTTGGCACAGATTGTGCAAAAAGTCATGTTGTAAATGTGCAGCATGTTAAAGGTTAAAAATATAGTTATATAGTTAGTTGTATGGCAATAACAGTGCTGTTTTTTTCAGTCCTAGTGCAGGTTATTAGTGACTTAAAGTGACTTATTGTACAGTCTGACAGCGGGGGATGAAAGCGCTGCGGTAGCGCTCCTTGCACTAAGGATGCCTCAGTCTTCCACTGAAGGAGTATTTGCAGTATAAAACCACAGTGTTAATTATATAGTTGTTATGTAATATGATGTATCCATCTGTTGCATAAACATGTTAACTATAACTTTTGGGTTGTATGATATCATCATATTTCAAAACCAGAATTCATACGAATCATCTCTTGCTCATGCGCCAATTGGCAGTGGCTTTGTTTCACCCACATCCCTCATCTCAAATACCAAAAAAGTTTAAAAGTAAACACCATGCCAGTCAACTTTGTTCTTGAGTGTTGCTTCTTCTTTCACATGACACTAATTGCTATTCACACAACCTATGAATGAATCCATGCTAATTATAGTCCTATTTGTTAAAACCTAATTGGCATAACTGGCAATTAGATTAAATACGCTTGAAAAATCACATGCATAAATGAAAAGAAAGACATTAATATTTTGTTGGATTTATGTTTTACTTTGAGGCCAATTTGAGCCATCTGACAACCACCAATCATACATGCCCACGTACGTACACTCATGGTTCTGGTATGGTATGAAAACAACCAGTAATATAGACAAGGAATATGGTATAGAGCATGATACATGTTTTTGGGATTATGTTTAATACAACATTGATGTTATTAATGCTGCTAAACTGACAAGCCCATGACATATATGTACAACTGTTGACTTTTATTTGAAAAAAGCTTGACTGCTCTCGCACTTTTTGCTGTTTGCATTCTAAAGAATCCTCAAATATAATATTTGTATATTATATAATTGATCAAATCTGGAAATATAAACATTTTATTAGAAGAATTATCAACATTCAACTGCTTCTTTTGTCGGAGATAGCTGACCTAGTTTTTTATTTGGACTACAAGTCAACACCATAGGCCTACACATAGAACTATCCATGGGTCCGAAATCGGACTGAAACAACTACAGATCATGTTCGACTACATTTCCCAAGCTACGAGCATGCTCCGCGCATGCGCAGCCCGTCAGCCGCGCAAACACATGCGGATATGCTGCGATGTAAAATGGCGGTGTGAGAGATACAAACGGCCAGTCTACATTCAGAAGGTCTACCTCAGATAGTTATTTGTGTGAATTCCTATTTATCAGATTGCTGCAGTAACCATTTATGAAAAGGTATGTGATCTTCAACCAGAAATTGTAACCTTATCATGGCGTTTAACAGACACGTTACTGCTGTAACGACATAGCTTCAGCTAACGCTAGCAATGAACAAGCAACGAAGCATGCTAACACCAATCAGGCCGAATGTTGGTAATACTGGTCTAACTTAGCAGTTCCGCTGATTAACTTTTAGTAACATCTAGCTAATTATTAATTTCAAATCATACCCAACATTTGTCTAGCAGTGCGGCCATGTATGACACGGCCTCCATGATGTAGTTCGCCTTTACCAACTCTGGCTCGGCTATCCTTTACTAGGCTAACCTAGTATATGTTACTCTGGGGGAGTAACATTTAAACAAAACGTGGTACGTTAGGTCTGATAAACTGATAACCTACCAATTATTCTTAACTACTGGATTAGTTGTTCAGAATTTAGGTAGGATATTTCATCTTGATTTGACCCAGATAAAGCTGAATTGATTCCATTGGAAGTCATCCTAAGTGAGGGTTTGCCGGTTTCTCCCCTCGTCTGGGTGGGTTTCCTCCAATCGTTCTGGTGACCATCACTGAGATGAGTCCCAGGCTGCTTCACTGTGGTGACCACTGCTGAAGCTGGTCCTAGTGCCATCGAAGGATCGGTTAAGAGCCGAGCTCAAAGTAGGCATTATCCTAAATTAATCGCTTACTTTAAGAGTTGTCAACTATTTGTAGTTCCATCACTAATGCTTAAAGGTTCATTATGAAACCTTGGTGACATAGTGACCCAGCTGGATGAGTGGTCAGCATGGAGCCTTTACTTTCCCTCACAGTGGTCTCTGCTGATGAACCCTGTCACCATAAAATGCAATAAACAATCGATCCCAGAGTATTGTAGACACAATCATAATCAATCTAGGGTATGGTCTCTGACTGTATACCTCTCTGTCGTGATGTTGAATACGCAATGCAGATGACCCTCCGCTGTTCAAACTTTTATCTCGGCTGCGCCCCTCAGAAGTCATTTGAGGGGCTTCTGCATTCATGCACATGTTAATTCAGCAAGGATGTTTATTTGACAAACTTGTTTTTTTAGAATGATTGCCTCAGTTCTTATTTTTGTTGTATATCTCAATATTTTAAATCACAGTCCTATTCTTTGTCAGCGGGTTAGGTTTAGAATTGGTCTTAACTATCACCGGGTTACATGGTCAAATACACAAATATTTTTTTCAATCCACATATAAAGTTGCATTTTTTAACATCTGCCCATTTAAAGTTATCAAAACGTTTCAGGGATGGCCAAGCGGATTGCAGATAAAGAGCTGACCGACAGAAACTGGGATCAGGAAGAAGTGGGAGAAGAGGTAAGTGTTTTGTTGTAAAAAAGGGGTGTCGCAATACGTTTTGTTTTTAAGCCAAGTTTTACAATTTTAAAACCATTCTTGAGTTTTAAAAACAATGGCATGGTAAAAAAAAAAATGATTTAAACAATTATTGTAATTATAATCGGAAAACGATTGCATATGTGATCCTATGTGTAGAATGTAGGTCCATTTAGATATTCTTTGTCCCCAGCCCTTATGACCATCACTTCACTGTCACTACTGTCCATTTACTGCACTGCTAATCATATATTGTGTGCACTAGTATAGAGTAGTTATTTTAAGAAATGTTATGTAGATTTTATATTATGCATAACTTATTCTATTTTTATTTTTAGAACTTGTTGCACCGAGACTAATGACCATTTAATGCAGCACAATAAACTCACATTGAACATTATCTATTTTTTAAAACAATGTTTTATACCAGGCTGGAACCTTCTCTCTGGCAAGTGATGATGTTTTAAAGAACCGTCCCATTAAAAAAGCAAAGCGCAGAAATGCTGGGTCAGATGTAAGTGATGTCATATATTTACCCTGAACTGTACCGCTGTACATTTTGGTCATATTTCCTTTTTTTGGGGTGCAGGCTGATGGAGGTTCCTTCAAAGGTTTTAAAGGATTCTCACTGATGCCATCAACAACAAGTGCCGGCTCAAGTACTTTTTCAAGTTTTGGAAATGGCAGCAGTTTCAAAGGTTTTGGAAGTTTGAGCAATGGAAATGTCACTCCTTCTTTTGGAACATTCACAGCACCTCCCACATCCACGGCTACAACTGGTACTTAGTGCAGCTCTGTAAATGTAAAAAATATAAATTTGACAGTCATATTAAACTAATTTCTTTTCTGTTTAGCATTCAATGGCTCCATCTCCTCTAGTGTCACAGTTGACATCTCCACAAAACAGACCAATGGCACTGCCCTGAGCCAAGTTCAAACCTCCTGCACGAGCACCAGTAATAAGGAGTACAGTCGGCAGCTCACTGCACTTAACTGCTCTGTACGGGACTGGATCACCAAGCATGTCAATGACAACCCATTGTGTGACCTGAACCCCATCTTTAAGGATTATGAGCAACACCTGACGAGCATCGAAAAGAAGTATGGTGCCGGAGTGGCCAATGTAGGCTCAGGAGATAAGCCAGTTATCTCAGAAGAATCAGCTGCTCCACCAGCGGCTTCCATCAGCACCCCAACACCGGCTCTGTTCTCGTTTGGGAAAGGGACCAATGAGTCAACTCAAACTAAAACTACAACGGTTCCCGCTGGTGTTACTTTTAACTTTGGCCAGAAGGTCGACAGTACAGTTTTGAGTTCGTTTGGATCCAAGTCCACTGCTCCCAGTTTCTCATTCTCCTCCAGCAGTACGTCAACACAGAGCCCCCTCTTTGGAGCAGCCAACTCTGAACCAACATTGTCCTTTGCTACACCAAAAAGTGACATGACACCACAAATGGGTATGCTTTTTTTACCCAGAAATATTTGACAGTCATAAATCCCAATTTATAAGGCTGGTGTGTTAAACATTTACACTTTGGTGTTCAATAGGTGAAACCGGAGACGAGGAAACTGAAGAGCCACCAAAACCTGAGGTCAAGGAAGTGAAGGAGGAAGACGCTTTTTATTCAAAAAAGTATGGTGTTCACAAATCAGGCATATTATGCGGTCATGAAGTCCAATTTGTATTTTGACTTTCCTTGTCTTGATTTATATTTAGGTGTAAACTTTTCTACAAAAAGGATTCTGAATTTAAAGAAAAAGGAGTTGGAACCTTGCACTTGAAACAAAGTGGTGAAGACAAAACTCAGATGATAATTCGTGCTGACACCAATCTTGGTAATTTATTCGTTTGATTGAGCAAGTTGCATATACAAGTAGCTCCACCTGCTGGTGGCTACGGCTCCCTCCATTGAACATTGTAAACTTCATGTTTTTGTATTGTTTTCACAGGAAACATACTACTGAACATAATTCTACAGTCATCTCTACCATGCTCTAGAGTTGGAAAGAACAATGTCATGCTTGTGTGTGTTCCCAATCCAACAATTGATGACAAAAACCCAAATACTCCAATCCCACTTCTCCTGCGTGTCAAGACGGAGGAAGACGCCAATGAGCTTCTGAAAATCTTGGAAGAGAAAAAAGGCTAAACTTTGCTCAATCATCTATTAACGCATCACCATCTCTATCCAGATTCTACATGTTGTTGAACCCCGGTCTCACGTTACCTGCTTTACCAACTGTTTTGTATAACATGCACAACTCAACGTCAGTAACTTGATGGTTATACTGTGAATTATTTGTTATTGTATATCACATCTCAAGTAGGCTCTGATATTCACAGCTACATTCCACTTGCTGCTGTTTTATTAGAAGTTTGGTAAGGTGTAATGTTTTCACCTCATTTTATTTTTGAGGAGGTTGTGACTTGAGAGTAAGTGTATCCATACAAGTTAATATACAAAGAGTAAGCAGATATAGAATTTTGAAGAGTAAAGAATTCTCTAACAATTCAATTTGGTTTTACAAATTAAGTACTTTCAGTGACAGTAATTTTTTTATTGAAAGGATGTATATCTTTTGGAGTGTCTTGAGTGGTTGTTCTTTGCTCTGGGAACTATTTATTGCTACAGGTGTCTGTGTCAATGATTGAACCCTGTGTGTATGCCCCATCAAGCTTCTTATGACTGTGGAAGACAACATTTTTACATAAACATTCAACTGTGCTTTCCGAAGTGTCCTGTGTGTGGCATCATTTTGGCCAAGACAACAATGGGCAAAAAAAAAACAATCGTGAAGACCTTGACTGGGGAATATAAGTGAAAACATCTTGCTGTATGTAAACCAACTCGAGCCAAATTACATTTTAAATAGGCCGCTTTCATGTGACATTACAAAGATGATGAATGTAAAAAGTTATCTATTTTCTCTCATTCCTGGGCTATTAAACACGAAGTCAGTACATAAGTGTCTATGAAGCACGACGTTGGCTGTATCTGAATGCTCACACTATTCCTTTTATAGTATTGTATTCTTGTATATGGTATAGTGTGGATGCATTCTTGGAATCAACTACAGTAGTGGCCGTTAACGTCCCATCTTTATTAACACTAGAACTCCCAGAGCAGTCAATTTGACGGCTATTAGATGTTGAAGTGTAATCACTCCTTTTTGATCTTCCTAAATTTGTGACTTTTTGTATCGATGTAGTTTATTTCTATGTCATTGTTTTTGATGAGTTATCGCTTAAACTCCAAGTAGTTATTTTCAAGCAGAAAAGCGCTAATTACCATGGCAACACCCTGTTTACTCCTAGCAGTTAGCCTTAGATAGCCGTTCAACTAACATTTTTTGCTCTATTTCGAATTACATTCACCAGTTTAAGTTTAAAGTGAGAAAAGGTGATTTTTTTTTTTAAACCATATTTTGAAAAATAACAGAAATAGTCGTGTTGATCTCAGAAGTGTGGTACTTCCTGCGCTGACCCGGAAGCTCTTGTTCGGACACGCCGCCTCCGTGTCGTGTGCGTGAGTCCACACCACACACCTTGCCATCAAACAAACGAATTAGATGAAATACAAAGGCCCCTGACGTGTATATGTTTCATTAAGGTGGGTATTTTGGATCTAATCAGTTTTACGGTGAGTAGCCAAGGGGTGTGTTCGCCACCGTGATGTGTGTGAAGCAGCGTTGTAAACAGCACTGGTAAAATGATGCTAGTCTAGATCCACGCGGAATGAAAAAATGGTTTATTTGTGTAATGTGTGCCTGTTTTTGTCTAGTTACGTTTCCAGTACTGTATAATGTTTTTTTTATTTTGTCACCCGTCAAACTAAAGGCTAAGCATGACGGGTTAGCTTCGTTGTTAGCTTGGAGTGCTGATGGCTGGTTGCGCTGAGTTGTCAACTTTTTAGGAGTGGTCTCTGACATCTTTACCCCCTCATCTACTGTCCACCTAATAGGTTACTTTCATTCTGTTCCTCAAAGTAAGGAGTTGTTGATGATTAGTTACTGCAGTGTTGCATCATACAGACAAGGCATGAGTCTGTCAAACGTATTCTGTTGTCATGAGATCAAGCAACGATGTGTTTACTGTGTCGTCTGTAAACACTGTCACGTTGTGATAAACTTTTTTCGTGTATTTCTCGGACCACATAAAACTTTACTGTACGCTCTCACACCAGTTTTACAAAACAAATATAAATAGTTTTTATGCTCATGTTTGGAGGTTATTTCATTATTATTGGGTGAATAATCAGTTCATAATTTAAACGCCCAAATATTTATTATTTTTGACTATAATAACTTGTATAATAAAATCATCCGTAGTTAATTTGATAGTATCATGCATGCACTGGTACTCTAGTGCTACTACTACTTTTACTCAACTCCTTGGGGAAAGATGGGGAGGGGTCAGGTTCTCAAACTTACGTTGAGTCCTTAGGCAAGACACTTAACACTCATTGCTGTGTGTGTATGATAGATGGTGGTTGGAAAGGCCGATGGCACAGATAGGTAGCCTCCCTTCTGCCTTATGGCGGTCGTGGCTACAGATGTTAATGCACTGCATACACGTCCGAGTGTCCAGAAAAGCACTTCATAAGTTAAATGCATTGATCTGCGTTAACAGATGAGAGATCTTCCTGTATCGCCTGAAGTGAGGAGCAAATTTGCCGCAGACCACAGCTAACACACTAATGGCCTGCCAGTCTGTCACTGCAGTCATGGACGAGCAGGCCCTCCTGGGGCTCAACCCTAATGCTGATGCCCGCTACCGGCAGAGGGTAAGTGTCTTCATGTATCAGATCCATTTGTTTTAGCTCGATTGTCAGTTTGCTGTGTCAGTGAGAAAATGTACAAAAAATGACATCTTAAACCCCCCGCCCCCCATTATTTTCCAGGCTATGGCATATTTTGAGCAGCTCAAGGAGTCTCAGGATGCTTGGGAAGTTTGTGCAGAAGCCCTGGCAAAAGGCATTTATAAGTGAGTGTTGTTGTTGTTGTTGTTGTTGTTGTTTTTTGTTTTTGTTTATTAAATTGCATTTTATCTTTCTTAATTTTCAGTGACGACCACGTGAAGTTTTTCTGTTTTCAAGTGTTGGAACATCAGATTAAGTTCAGGTTAGTTCATTCCAATAATTAATATTTACAAATAAATTATTGATTGTAAACCACTTGACAACATAGGAACAAATCTCAATCAAATGTTGATGAGATGTTTTAAAGTTGTCATGACCAAATAAAATCCTCCTGTGGACTCACCACCTGAAGGAGGATCAGTGAGTGGCTGGTGCGATGTGTACTGGGTGGCATCTCTGGCCACCCCCCGACCCAGAAATGGATTAAGGGGTAGAAAATAGATGGATGGATGGATGGATGACCAAATAAACTCATTGGGGATCATTTTTAACTTTGGAAACCCTATGCACTCATACAGTTTCTCTTGTTTAGGCATGCAGGTCTGAGTGCTCCTCAACAGCAGCTCATCAGAGAGTGTCTGATGAAGTGGCTCCAGTGTCAGGTATTGTACATTATTAACTGAGCAATCAATCAAAATCTGTCAACATTTCAAAACCTGTACAACACAATTTTTCCCAAAAAAAATGGAAACCCAGAACCGCAGATAGTTTTGTAAAAGGGTTGGATGACGCAAGCGCTATAAATCCGAACCCCCCCCCCCTCACCCACTCAGAGATGATTTGGAATCAAAACAATAAATACAGCAGAAAAATACATAAACTTGTAATATGAAAATCATGTGAAGTAGGTTACTTGGATTTGTGTCCCGACCTCATAAACAGTGGTCAAACTGGTTCTCCCATTTATCATAGCTTACTCACTAACTTTATAATTTAAATAACTCAATACATTGAATGGCTATGTTTGTTCTTCTGTGCAGTTAATCAGCCCTCAGCCTGAGAAATCCTTCATCAGAAATAAGGCTGCTCAAGTCCTGGCCCTCACTTTTGTCATGGAGTATCTAACTCTGTGGCCTAAATTCTTCTTTGACATTCTGTCACTTGTCGGTTCAAATCCTCACGGCGTCGACATTTACCTGCGAACACTCATGGCTATTGATGCAGAGGTGGTCGACCGCGACATCATGCACTCCCCTGAGGCAAGTTTAATGTCATATCATCTAATGGACAATGCATCTATGTCTTTTCGCCAATTGTATTTCAATATTATCCATGCAAAATAAGAGCCTAATATTCTCTGTTGGTGCAAGACCTTTGATAATGACATAACAATATTTCAACTCTTTGGGACAGTTCAGCTTATATTTGTTTGGTACTTTGTGTGTTGAAATTAAACTCTTTGATATGTTCTGTGTTTTGGTGTAGGAGACGCGCCGGAATACTTTAATCAAAGATTCTATGCGTGAGCAGTGCATCCCCCATTTGGTGGAGTCGTGGTTCCAGATCCTGCAGACGTACCAGCAGTCGCACCCAGAGCTCACATGTCTGTGCTTGGAGGTTGTGGGGGCTTATGTATCCTGGATCGACCTCAACCTCATCGCTAATGATCGGTGGGTTTTATTTTAGAGCAGTGATCCCCAACCCTTGTACAAAATGATGGTACCACACATGCATTGATTTCTATCTCTGTTTTATTAATATTCTGATTTTGAACCATTTTTATTTTGAAAGCCGTATTCTGTCTGCCTATGACTCACTTTTGATGTCACATAATATCAGTGGTAGGTTGTATTCAATTATTGTGACTGGTGCTTCCCATGCACCACAGTGAATCCTTGAAACAGGAAGAATAGAAGCCAGTTTAGGCGCTTCAAATCCCTGGTAAAGCAGGGGGGGAAAGCTGTGTTCTCCATGGGCCTCTTACACATACCTGCCTTTTTTACCTGGGTAAAGCAACCATTCACCACGATCCAAAGATCCGCTTCAAGTTCACTCTCCCAGGACTTTACCTGCAAGGTAAACTTCTGGGAAACGTTTTGGAGGGTTTCAAATAAAAAAACAAACATAAGTCTCGTTTCCAGGGGTGTGTCCCCCCCAGGACCCTCCCCCACAGGGCCATTTACAGGAACTTTTACGGGGCACAACGGAGAACCTCCTCCATGCTAGGTACTCAGTTCGGCCCTGTAAAGCTCCTGGTAGGGCTAGAGGTTAACCCGGCGCTGTTTGGCTAAAGCTAGAGCAGGCTCTGGCGCCATCAGAAAATACCAAAACAACCGACATTTTAAAAATCTAGAAGCACCTTGCTCCCATCTCTGTGTGGCGTCAGAGACAAAATGCCAAACAATTAGTCCTAAAAAAGCGCCTTGTGACTCTGGTCTGTGAAAGGCGCTATAGAAATAAAGATCACTTACTTAGCAGCCATTAACCTAGCAGCATTAGCCTAGCAGACACTACTGGAAAGGGCAAATAACAGCAACAAGATGTACAATAAATTGATGGATATTCAGAGGGGGCTCGAGGCATCGCTGCAAAATTAAAAGATAAATACTGATAATATAAACTGTTGATCAATTTTGGTTTTTACATTAGAATTCCCCTTCTGAGTTTTTGTGCTGGTCTTATGCCTAAGACTTTTTACCACTATGATCAGACTGTTGACTGATCTTGGCTCTGTTGGGGACCGCTGCTTTATATATTTTATAGTGTGACCACACATATGACAGTTTACTTCCCATTTTTTTAGATTTGTCAATTTGCTGCTGAGTCAAATGTCCATGGACGAGCTGCGAGAGGAAGCCTGTGACTGCCTGTTTGAAATAGTTAACAAAGGAATGGATCCTGTGGACAAAACCAAACTGGTGGAGTCCTTGTGCCAAGTATTGCAGACGGCGGGCTTCTTCAATGTGGATCAAGTAAACCAGTGTTATTTGTACTATTTTCATGTTTATAACTTCTATTCTGTAATATTGATGATTTTATTTTTTAGGAGGAGGATGTAGATTTTTTGGCAAAGTTTTCTCGGTTGATAAATGGTATGGGCTTGAGTTTGGTTCAGAGTTGGACCAAGTTGGCAAAAGCTGGAAGTGTAAAAGAGGCAACGGACACACTTCAGGCTTTGGAGGCCAAAGTGCCGCTGCTGTTGCAACTGTTGGTGCATGAGGATGATGATATTTCTGCAAACATGGTGGGCTTCTGCTACGACTACCTGCATGTCCTTAAACAGGTGAGCTCATCAAGGACTGAAGCTTGCACTTGGTGCAGGTGTTGAACTTTTAAGTTGTGAAGCACAGAATCAGTCAGTGACTTCTATTGTGTCCGTCTCGTAGCTTCCTCAGTTGACAGATCAACAGAAGACAAACATTGAGGCATGTTTTGGATTCATTTGGCATCCATACTTTCGTGATAAGTCAAATAATAATTTGTAAACATGTTTTACAGGCAGTAATGCTTGCTGTTATGAAAAAATTAACCTATGACGATGAGTATAACTTTGAGAATGAAGGTGAAGATGAAGCAATGTTTGTGGAGTACCGGAAACAGCTGAAGATGCTTTTGGACCGTTTGGCTCAGGTTTCCCCTGAACTGCTGTTAGAGGCAGTTCGTCGAGTCTTCACCAACACCATGCAGTGAGACATTTCTCAGTTTTCTGCATTTAAAAAAATGGAAACTTAAGAGTAAATTGACGATCAGCCATGTTCACTCTTGTGTGTAGAAATTGGCAGTCGTCACCGTTCATGGAGGTGGAAGTGGCGATAAGGCTGGTTTACATGCTCGGAGAGGCGCTGCCTGCCTCTCATGGTGCACATTTCTCTGGGGACACGGCTAAAACCAATGCCCTTCAGGATATGATGCGAACAGTGAGTCTTGAGCCTTCTGTAAAAAGTACTTTATGAAAATGTCATTTAAACCTTTTCAACTGTAATTGCAGCTGGTGTCTTGTGGCGTGAGCAGTTATCAGCACAGCTCAGTGGCTTTAGAGTTTTTTGAGACTGTGGTGCGATATGATAAATTCTTCCTTGTTGAGCCTCAGCACATTCCTAATGTTTTGGTAACAATCTTTTTAAATTCATTGTCAATTTACTTAGTTTTCTCCCCTCATTTTGTAAAGACTTTGATGTGTTACAGATGGCATTTCTTGATCAAAGAGGACTGAGGCACAATAGCCCCAAAGTCCGCAGTCGAGTGGCTTACCTCTTTTCCCGTTTCATCAAAACGTTGCAGTAAGTCTCTCCTAGCCTGAGATCAGAAGTCATTAATTGTAGCACTACATATTCTAAAGCTTCCTCCTTATGTCAACAGTAAACACATGAATGCCTTCATTGAGGACATTTTGACCAGAATCCAAGACCTGCTTGCTCTTGCTCCTCCTGTATGTATCAAAATCCATACAACTCTTTTTATTAGGAAAGAATATAGCCATGAACATATTTTCGTTCATAATTTAGGAAAATGGATTTCCAGCACTTTTGACAAGTGATGATCAGCTGTTTATGTTTGAAACGGCTGGCATTCTGATTGTCAATGGTGAAAGTCCAGTGGAGAGAAAACAAGCAATGATGCGGAGCCTGCTGACGCCGCTGATGGAAGCTTTTGGACTGCTTCTTGCCAAACTCTTGCAGGAAACTGAGGAGGAGAGTCAAGTCGCCCTGGCAGACCTCCTTAGCCATGCTGTAGGCTTTGCTAGGTATGAGGTGATCATTGTAGTATCATACCAACAGTTCAATGAGTGTATTTGTTAATGAGCATGTTCTTCGACAGTCGCACCAGTAAGGCCTTTAGTAACAAACAGACGGTGAAGCAGTGCGGTTGCACTGAGGTCTACAGAGACTGTCTCCAGACATTTCTTCCTGCCCTGAGCTGCCCTGTGCAAAAAGGCGTACTCCGCAGCTCCGTCCGCTCCTTTCTCCATCGAATGATCATCTGCCTGGAAGAGGAGGTGCTGCCTTTCGTTCCATCAGCCTCTGAACATATGCTCAAAGACTGTGAGGCGAAGGATCTACAGGAGTTCATCCCACTTATTAGCCAAATCACTGCAAAGTTTAAGGTGATCCCACATGTTTCTATTCCTTCTGTCCATTCTCGTTGCTATTACTGACTTGTGTTTGTTTCACTGCGACAGAGGCACGTCTCACCTTTCCTACAGCAGATCTTTATGCCACTTGTACTCGCCATATTCGAGGTGTTAGCACGACCAGCAGAAGACAATGACCAAACTGCTGCCTTGGAGAAGCAGATGCTGAGGAGAAGCTACTTCAGCTTCATTCAGACCGTAACGGGGAGTGGAATGAACGAGGTGATGGCTAATCAGGGTACGTTACAGTGTGAAAAAAAATGTAGGCACTTTTTAATCCCTAAGTAAACTGACGTGATTATCACTAGATAGTAGTGAAAAGCTAAGCCACATGTTCAGAAAACAAACCTTTGACCCTTTTAATGGTTTCTTCAACCATTTGTTGCATCACTTTTTGAGTCACTATATCGCCTTGAAGCTTGGAACTGAGATCTACCTCATTGGTTCATCTCTATTACTTGGTTTTACGCCCTTTTACCATAAACCATTTGGTCTCAACCATTAGTAAAGGCCTATGGGTGTGTTCACAGTAAAGTGTCAAAGTAACTGGACATTCAATGGTTATAACTCAAAAACGAAATTCACTATGATAGATTGGATAAAGATATTTCAAACAGACATTTTTGGCAAATAGATTTTTGACGAAATTTTTATCAACCAAATCAGCCTCTGATTTGATCATTCTACTGTGACGAAAATAAAATGTCCTCAATCCTTCAGACTAACATGGCTAACACAACATCAGTAAATGACTTGATTTAAAAAGGAATCATTTGTGATTGTCTGGTTTTACGTTTAATTGGTTTACTGTATGAAAGTAATCACTTTGTTTCTACTGTTTAAAAAAAGAAAAATCTATTAATCAAATCTGAAAATCTGTCAAATATGTAACAAACTTCCGCGTAGCTAATTCCGTCAAAGGAATCACGTCCGTTACAAAAAATAAACTGAGCCGCTATAGGAAACTTCACTAATTTATAAAACGGTTCTCTTCTAGTAACTTCTATTGGACGAAGGCTGTAGTTGGATAAATGAAAAATCTTATCTTCTGACCTTTTGTACCCTTTAGTGTGAACAAGCAACAACTTAACTAATTATTTGTGTTATTAGTGCTCCTACATCTTAGAAAATAAAAAAGATAAATTAAATTGCTTTCTTCAAGGAGTGAACATTAAAAGGTTAATGTCTATAAATTATAAAACCTTATCTCGCGTGAAATTTCTGATATCTAACATTTTGCTCTTCTGACAGGTGCAGAGAATATTGAGCAGGTTGTATTCACAATCATCCAGGGGGCTGTTGACTTCCCTGACCCCATTGCTCAAAAAACATGCTTCATCATCCTCTCCAAATTAGTGGAGCTTTGGGGTAATTAAACCATAAATCGAGTGTTTCTAAATATTTTCTATGAAGTAATGGTCTGTCTTTCTCAGGAGGCAAAGACTGCATGGTGGGGTTCCCTGACTTCATCTACAAAAACATAGTTCCTGCTTGTTTCATGGCTCCTCTGAAACAGACATTTGACCTCTCTGATGCGCAGACTGTGCTCGTGAGTTTCTGCCTCTGAACATTGGAGACAGTTTCTCTTGTGTTTTATGCAAAATGTTTGTTTTGTAGACTCTTTCGGAGTGCGCAGTTACACTGAAAATGATTCATCTCAAACGGGTAAACAGAAATGTGGAGATGTGTTCCTTGGTGACAGGTTCAATACATATTGTTTTTATCTGTTTTAGGGACCAGAGTTTATCCAGTTCCTTCAACAGGAGTATTTGCCGTCTCTTCAAGTGTCGCCAGAAATATCACAGGTATCATTGCATTATTTTTTTTATTTGAGGATGTCTTGCTCAAAGTTTACTAACTTCGAAAATTAAACATTTTGTTTTACTATTCTTTTAGGAATTGTGCCATGTGTTACAAGAGCCAGATGTTAAAGTTTTGAAAACTTACTTAAAGGTCAGTATAATTTTGTTAATACATTGTTTCTATTATAGATCTTTGCAATAAACATAATACACTTTTCTCCTGTTTGAACAGGCCTTTTTTCAGCAAGCCAGGCTTTAGAATATAAAGGGGCCATTGGATTTCATAGCCACTCAACTCATCAGGAGTTGCACTTAAAAGTAAACGTGTCACAGTCCAGTCTGTTGGGATGACCGATGACCGAAGGGGAGCGCCCTCCAGAGACGAGCTGTCCACGGCACCGCTACATGACGTCAGTGAGGAAAAACATAGGTGAAGAAACTTGTAGACTAAAACCTGGGAGAACAATTATCCTAACATTGTAGGATTCATCAAACATAGCTTTATTTTAGTCAAATCTTGTATAAATTGCTGTACAACACTCAAGGGATGTGTAACGTGTTTGCTGCAACATGGAAAAACCAACAAGGGCTGGAAATGTATATTTGATTTGTTTTTTTTCTTTGGAGAAAGATTCATTTTAGGTTTGAAGTGAAAAGGTGCTTGAATGATCTATTGGGAAAGTTGGCTCCCAGCTTAAATGTTTACCGAAATTCTACATTCATCTCTGTTCACAGTAGTTGGATATCAAAACTCTGTGGTTAGTCTGCCTTTCTGAAATGTTGATGCAAGGACTCTAATTTCAAGTCAAGTTAAATGTGAGATTAAATAAAATGTATATAAGAGTAAGATGATACAAAAAATGTAAATAAAGTTCCCAGGTTTATTTTTTTAATATTTTTATGGAAGCTCATTTGTGCCAGAAAATCACTGTTCAAAATGCAATTTGAAGTACAATATTTGTACATTTATCACAATCTCCGCCTTTTAATTAATACAGGTATGCATTTTACGGCTTATTACTTCCCAGACTCAAATGGGCTTCCTGAAATATACATGATTGGAATAATCTTATGTACAGCTTGTGTCACTTGTACAGAAGCAGCTCACTTCAAGAATTGACCAATTTATTTATGCAACTCTGCATGACATACTGTGAAGGAGCACTTATTAACTGTCCATAAGCTGTTATAACATGGTGATCAATGAATGTCATCTGTACTGTTCATTGCCTGGACCTAATATCACTAATAAACCAGTTCAATGTAGGAGTTGTGCTGTTCACGAAATCCTAAGTATTTTATTCCATGCTCATGAGCAGAAAGTAAAATCTTACTTTAAGGTTATACAGTGAGCAGGTTCTGAAAGTTGACATCGTGATGGCACGTTACATATAAACTGTCCTAATGTTTCATGCATCTGTTAAAGCCTTCAACAGCCAGAGTTGAAACACCTTTACAAATTACATAATACATGGAACCACTCACCAAACTAAATTGGTGGCAATTTTTTTTTTCTTTGCAAATTTTATTTAAAAGTGCTCCTGCTTTTGTCTAAATATTGTTTAATGTCCACTTGAACCTCAAACTGTTAGAACCAATAAAGTGTTAAATCATGACATTGTGGTCTTTTTGTATGAAAAAAAGTGCTGTAAATACCAGATATTTTTATCCATTGTCACACAATCCCAACCACACATTCACCCCAAATTATTGTAGATGTTTTAGTGGTAGGGGAAACAAGCACCAGGAAATTTTGGGTATGCAGCACATGGATGAAGAACTGACAGACCGTAAATAAAGTTTGCATGTTTTAAATGAAATTGTAGCCACCATAAAGGTATAAACAGCATTTTTAAATGTGCAACACAAAGTTTGGCAAAAAAAACAAAAATTCAAGACTGCTTGTCTCTTTCATGAAAAGAGTTTATCCTTTAATAACAGCGATCGGTCGCAGTTTAATGGCCTTTTTGCTGATTCCGGCATCATGGCATGTGTTGACAACATCTGTCACATTTTTGTATGATTCGGGAGCCTGTAAAAGAAACAGGTTTGATATACTCTGTATTAACTCAATCTCATGAACAGTCTCACCTCCTCCATCACTAGCTTGGGTGAAGCCACTCTAATAGCAATACCCTTATCAGCAAGTTTGTCCAAGACATCCTGGAAGTCTAAGTTTCTGCGTGATTTTGCTCTTGAGAGAGCTCGGCCCTGGACCAGTACAAAAGGCATTAACCACAAACAATGCTGTAAAATATCAGACCTAAAATATGTCTATATAGAAACTGATTACATACCGCTCCATGACAAGTTGTGCCAAACGTCTCCGTCATCCCATGCTCTGTGCCAGTTAAGACATAGCTGCATGTTCCCATGGTTCCTCCGATTAACACCGGTTGACCTGTGATCTGAAGGGAAATTTGAGGTTAATTACATCTTACTCTTATGTGATCTGCCACTAACGTGTATGTTGTACAGACCTGGTAGTCAACAGGGATGAGTGGATGGTGTGGCGGAAAAGCCCTAGTGGACCCTTTGCGGTGGACTAACAATGTTCTCTGTTTGCCATCAACAATATGTTCCTCAACCTTAGCAATATTATGGGAAACATCATAGATAACATGCATGTCCAAGTCATCAGGTGTAGTCGCAAACACTTTAGAAAATGCCTAGCAAAAGAATAAAGAAGACATTAAATCAACTGCATGATAATTGAACATTAACTATTGTAGGAACAGTTCTCACTTGTCTGGTGAGGAAGGTCATGGATGAACGGTTGACCCAGGCATAGTTCCCAGCTGCAGCCATGCCTTTTAGATAGTCTTGTCCCTCCTGTGAGAAGATGCGGGCACAGGCCAGCTGACGGTCGTTCACGGTGATCTTGTCTCTTTTCATTGCCTTCTCCATGGCAACTAAGGCATCTTTACAAAATAATTATGATTTAATCGTGTATGTGTGAGTACAAAGTTAGCCAACACAAATGATATGAAAATATTTATACCAGTAGCAACCTGGTGGCCGAGCCCTCTGCTTCCACTGTGGATCATCACACACACCTGGCCTTTATGGTCAATGCCCATTTTTTTAGCAGCATAGTCATTATATATCTCATCCACAACCTGGATTTCAACGTAATGATTTCCTGCCCCAAGAGTTCCCAGCTGCAGCAAAAATAAATCAAAATTAAATAGTCTTTTCTAATATGTGATTTTCTCTTGAGTCTACCTGTGGTAGTCCTCTCTTCTTAGCTTTGGATGACACTTTGTTGGGATCTGCCTGCAACATCCTGCCATACTCCTCACAGTGCTCCTTATCCTCAGCCCAGGCATAACCCTCTCTGAGAGACCAGTCCACGCCCATTTCGAGAGCTTCCTCGAGGTCTCTAGCAACAAAGACATTACCCAAATTAATAGAAGAACATAAAGACTGTTCTTTTACATTTTAAAATTACCTACTTGGCACTCATTGGGATAACTCCTTTTGACCCCACCCCCACAGGGATATGATCAAAGAGAGATTGAGCCAACTGCTCTTTTACAGGTTGGACGTCACACTCATCAAGATTTGTTCTTAGCAGACGCACTCCACAGTTTATATCAAAACCGACACCACCTGCAGATAAAGTATACTTACAAATTATAAGATTCACACACAATTCTTGTAAATATTATTCATGCCCAATATCATTTCAGCCTTACTATAATTATACAGTTGTAGTGACATACCTGGGGAGACCACAGCTTCAGGACTATCCATGTCAAAAGCTGCCATGTTTCCAATTGCAAAACCATAGCCAGAATGGACATCAGGGAGACCAATGGATTTCTGCGAAGTGGTGATAACACACATAATAACATCGTACTTTGATAACAGCACACTCATGTAGAGATTGCTGGGTTTCAAGCTTACATGAACAATTCCAGGCAGTGCTGCCACATTTCCAATCTGTTTCATTGCTGGGAGGAATCCACCGATTCCTAAAAAAAATATGTAATTAATTCAACTGCTTTGATTGACATGTTTGCGAGACACACCTAATGTAAATTCTCCCTTATGTGTCTAACTGAGTGATGTCAGTAGACAATTTGGAATCATGTCGAATATGATTGAGTGAGTTAAACAGCACTAATGCTTGTAAAGAGACAGGACTTCAGACACACGCACAAACCTCCCCCTCTGCAGGCATTTCGAAGCTCTTCAAAAATCAATTTCTCCAGGGATTCATTAACGTAGAAGTTTCCTTCAACCTAAAACCAGAGCATATAAACTACGTCATACGAATCCATAACAGCTAACCACGCTGATGTGCAGCTAACTCACGCACCTGCATGTTTGGCACAAAACCCTTTTTAATTCGCCAGCAATTGCTGCTGATCTTATCCAAGTATTGGAGTTCATCATTGTAACTTCGGCTCATCGTCTCGATATTTCAAAAAACAAAGAAATAATGTTGTTCCACAGCTTAATGAACGGGGTGCTCTGCCTGTTCCTGTGGTGTCACCAGAGCAGTACGGAAGCTCGCTGGGAAAGCGATTGAGATTTCTTGTTTTTGATATCCCTGTTAATTAGGTATTAGGTCTCCTATTTTAACATGACTATTACTTTTGTTCATTATTTAGGGTTACATAAAGTTCAGCTCCAATCTAAAAATACTTGATTCTTTTATTGATTTCCTAATTTTATGTTGAAGTTTGAGGCGGAAGTGGTTTGGCTGCGTTACTTTTATATTTACGCGGTTTTACAACATTGACAGTCCTGTTAGCAGCGAAAATGAAACTCTTCACATAAACTGTCTTATTCTCAAAAGACTTGCTTGAAGTGGGTAACCGCTGCCAAAAGGTATTTTTACCTGTTTGCAAAATAATGTATCTTAAACGTTATTGTCTTTCCTGATGTGTTTGTGTTTGTGTTAGCATGTTGTGTTTACGATCAAAACAAATGATAATGGACGCTCATATATATATATTATAATATAACGCTAGCTACGCACAGCAGCTGAATAACATAATGTTGTTTTATTGGATGTGAACTGCGTTTTAAACCAGGAGAATACTCATTTAGTTCAATAACACTTTGTTTAGAGCAACAACCTGCGCAGTTTAATGACGCATCAGTTACAACATGAGACGTTGTTAAGTTAACTTCTTTAATGAACATGCTGTGGCTTACTTTCACCATGTACTCAACAATGTTCTTGGTTTAGCTTCATGTAACTACTTTGCGGTCTTCTGCTAAACATTCATGAAACGTTTTTTTTGTAGCATGAATCTACGAGTTCGATTGAACAGGCAGACCAGTCGTGTGACTCTACCTGGAGAAGACCCCACTTTGTCAGACCTTACAGATCTCATCAGAAAGACACTGCTGGCTTCACAGGGACTGAGGTCAGACTCAGACTGAATCCAACCAGTTTGCAAAAAACACCAGACAAATCTTATTGTTTATTTTCCCAGTGCGGACACAGAGTTCAGTCTTTCCTTAAATGGCACAGAACCTCTCTCAGACCACGGGCAGACTCTATCATCGTGCAGCATCGTGTCTGGAGATTTGATTGTCATACTGCCTGATCATGTTGCTGCTTTGACACCAAATAGTTCTGCCAGTCAGATCCAGACCCAGAATACAGCACCAAAGTCGGACAATGTAGTAAGTGTATGTTGCCTTGATTTGACAAAAAATAAAAAATATTATAATTTTCTCTGCTATAGCCAAGCAGCAGCAGTTCATCTACACATATCATGGAGTCTGAACTGGCGGTGCCCTGTTGGGAGCCTATGTTATGCAGTGAGGCAGAAGATGGCCAAGCACCACTTTCTCTTGAGCTCCTATATCATGGAGCTCACAGCACAAGTAAGAGTGATGCCATCATCGTGGTGGGACACCTGCTAATGCTCGAAACAGGATTTACTCATGAGGTGTGGCAAGTTAAGTCTACATATTATACTTATTTATTTAGAGGATAACACATTTGTCTTTACATTTGTATTTGCAAAGGGCATTGCGCTCCAGTCTATGGACATGCCTACAGGTTGGAGAGGAGCAGGAGTGTACAAACTTAAGTACAGCCATCCTCTATGTGAAAACAGCCACGCAATTTTGGCAGCTGTGTCCACTGGCTCTACACTTGTTATTAATGGTAAGTGTGTGATACATGTAATGTGTCCCTCCGCCCTTTATATAGTCACTTTACTGCCCATCATACGTCACTTTACTTCACTGTACTGCTGTCACCTTACATTGTGTGCACCATGTGCACTTGTATATTGTAAATAGTAACTGTAACTCTATTTTAAATTTATTCCTTAGAAGTGTTTTTTATTCTTTTTTTATTATCTGACTGTTGCACTGAGCCAAAGCAATTTCCAAGTCTGTGACTTCCTGTTACCTACGTGGCAATTAAAATTATTATTCTATTCTTATTCTTCATGTGAGTTTTACTATTCGTTTTTTGTAGCAACATTGAAAGTGAATGAAAAAGCTTGCGCAGTTGGTAAACTATGTTTGAACCCATCCAACTATGTGACCAATGAGTGGCAAGGTAGGCAACTTGAACTTCACCCTGGAGTAATTTAACATTTTGGGAAAAAAGTACTTAAAGCAATTATCATCTTCTTTTTGTATGTATTTATAGGAGACCATGCTGCTGCAGTTTTCAAAGATCTGAAGAAATTGTCCAGAATATTTAAAGACATTCTGGCATACCCTCTGATTGCTTCTGCCAGAGAAGGTGCAAACTCTCTAACTTCTGAATGTACCTTTTTTGAAGTATAGTTAATTTGTATTTGTTGTTCTGTTTGGCCTCTTTAGCTATGGCTTTGCCTGTAGCCTTTGGACTACCAGCTCTTCCACCAGAGCTCCTCCTCAGGGTTCTCCGGCTCCTGGACGTACACTCTCTAACGAGGCTGTCCATGGTCAGCAAACACTTTCAAAGCACCACATCTGATTCAACGCTGTGGAAGAATCTGTTTATGAGAGACTTCAGAGGTGAGAACATTATGGAGGCATATTTATATATGCCTCCATAATAAATTTATAAGTAAGTAAGTAATGTTTACATATAAATAAACATTACTTACTTACTTACTTACTTATATTTAAAACGTGTCTCTGTCATATAAAAACAAAACCAAACAAAAAACTCCCAACCAGAGTGCTGTTCGTTAAAGTCACTCAATAAAACCAGGCTTGCCTCTTCACTATGTCAGAACACCATATTTCATGCTCAGTTTGTTTCATTCCAGTCAGACTTAACAAAGTCTGACCTTGATCAAATGAACAAGGCCCCGTCCCAATTCTGAGGGCCCTCCAGGTGTGAGTGCCCTCACCAGGAAAGTGCCTTCCCATAAGGTGAGTGCACTCACCAATTCTCCCTAAGAATTGAGACACCCTTGGATCTAGGGGACAATATGCAAATGACGCAGCAGACGTGTTCCACGTCACACACATTATCAATGTGTCTGATTTCACCACAGATAAGATCTGACACAGATGACTTTATGAAACAAAGTATTTATTAAAATGAGACGTTTTTAATTCTATTTCATATGAAGATTTGCTATAATTAGGTACAGAACTGCTGCACATCACACACTCATTGAGACACACGCACACAGACACACATGTACACACACAGAGGCAGATACACACACGCACAAAAAAACTCACGTACAAACACACAGAGACAGACACATGTACATACACGTACGCGCACAGAGACGTACCACACAGACGGACACATGTACATACACGTACGCGCACAGAGACGTACCACACAGACAGACACATGTACATACACGTACGCGCACAGAGACGTACCACACAGACAGACACATGTACATACACGTACGCGCACAGAGACGTACCACACAGACAGACACATGTACATACACGTACGCGCACAGAGACGTACCACACAGACGGACACATGTACGCGCACAGAGGCATACCACACAGACAGACAACCTGGGACAACCTACAACCCCCACGGGCACGCGCAAAATCTAGGGCAAGGGTGCTTTTTAAGGGCACGGGTGAGAATTGGGACGGGGCTCAAGTTATACCTGTACTGTAATAAAAATAGGTGACCAGAGGTTTGTGCTTCTGGGAGATGGTCTGTCCATTCACCTGTTGCATCAAAGCCACAAATCCTCCACTCAGACCACAAATGAAGTTAGCGATCAGCAGGTTTTTCCTGCAAAAGTCCAGGCATAATGCTGGTCCAGGTTACGGTTCCACCTCCAGACAGGACCCTGTTCTCCCAGTGTCAGCTCCGGTTTCCTCCGGGTGCACCGGTTTCCCCTACCACTAAAACATGTACCATAGTTAAGGATGAATAAGTGTTTGTTTGAGTGCGACTATGGGACAATAGATGGAAATTAGCAACAAAAAGCATCAATCTGGTGTATTTACAGTTACTGCTGTTTATTAATGAACACTTCATACATTCCTCTCAAGATCACAGGGTCAGCAGTTTGGCACTTTACAGCCGCAGCCGCCCCACTGTGGCTGGTGTTCCCAGAGGTTAAGTGTCTTGCCAAGGACACAACGACAGTAGACAGTGGGAGTCGATGGTGAAAGTCTTGAGCGGGGCTTTTTTTCTCAATCATCATCTCTCTTAATGAACTCTCTGACTCTGACTTTGCTCTTTCCTCCTCAGATTATTTGCAGGATTGTTTTAATCTCCTGATGTTTTTGCTCAAACCTGCTTAAATATCTCATGTTAATTGTTTGTCACCAGACCCGGGTGCCAAGAATCACTCCAGAGACACGAACTGGAAAAATGTAAGTGGAAAAACAACAGTTCATTATTGTATGTTGAGTTTTTGAAAATATTAAATATTTTTCAGCTTTATCGCCAACGTTACAAATTTTGCAAAGAACACCAGCAACGGAGACATCATCGTTCTCTCCCGTCGTATCCACACCTTCCATATCCCAGCCCGCCATTGGGCATTGTGCCAATTTTTGATCCAGTTGTACCAGGGATTATCGGGGGTATATATGACCAGCGACCAGTCCTTCCTCCTATGATGTTACCCCGCCCCCGCCATGACCCCATTGGTCCATTCCGAAGCTACACCCCCAGATCCGGAGGCAGAGACCGAGGTTTCATATAACTGTTTTCAACTTTGAAATAAACATAGATCTGACTTACATTTTCATTTGGCCGTGACTTCACTTAATAAATAGTTCAGTCCATTAAAAAAAATCTTTTACAATTAATGTTTTGTTAATTAACCCTTTAGGCGCCAAAGTTGTAGATTACATGAGCTCCTGAATCCAAAACAATTTCTACACACTGACATCTTTTCTTTTCATTAATTCTTATTGACCTCTATTTAACCAGGAAAGTCCCACTGAAATTTCAGAATCTCATTTTCAGAAGAGTCCTGGCCCCTTAACACAGCACATGTATGTTTTTAGTGAAAGGGGAAACTGGAGCACCTGGTGGAAACTTGCCCTCACACCTTGGACTGTCTTTCTGAGAAACACAAGCGATATCCCCTATGATTTATGTTTCCTTTTGTTAGAGTAAATTTATATATTTTTCTCCTATAAAGTTTTAGGGTTCCACCTTTTTGTCTTCTTAGATCAAATTTTTGAGAACGCTCATGCGCCTGAAGGGTTAACAAAGTAATACGTACTCAATATAAACATGTTCACAATACTAAATATTACATTTCTTAGAAGATCTAAACACATTGATTTGTTATCAAATCTGTTTCATAAGTATTGTGAGAATGATTATGGACCCCAGGAAGAATAATGTGGATCCAAATAAATATAAAATACACATACATATAAATAAATGTGTATTTCATAAATTGTTTATTTTCTCGTTATTATTACATCTAAAAAGAGTGGGTTTTTTTCCTGGTGACTCCCGAAAAAGCATTATTTTGGGTAATAAAACCTTCAGAATGTAAAGAAACTTGTTTGGAGTCATCTCGATTATTATCATTGTAAAAATGATTATTTAGATAATGATTATTATCAAGAGGTCACATTTTGTGGTTTAAATACAAATAAAAGTATGTACATGACATAAAGATTTGCTGGAAATGTTATCCCATCAATATTTAGTGCCCAAGTCCATCTTTAATTAACTGAGAATGAGTTTTAAATCTGGCTTCCCTTTCTCTGAGCATGTCATTATATGTTATATGTTGGATCTGTATCTTGTCTTTTCCCACTTGTTAAAAAATGACATCATCCTTTGTCTTAAAACAATGAGTGCGCTTGATTTAATCCAACGTGTCTATTGGAAGGGGCGGAGTCCAGCAATGACAATTTGGTGGGAACCGGAAATTGCTTAGTAAATAGCGGTCATGATTTTCACTCCGTTTAGTCTATATTTCTATACATAGTATTGATCATGGACTAGTAATAATAATAATAATGCACGTAGATGTTCTTGCAATGCTACACGAACACATTTGCACCCGCGTTGGTATCTCTTTAAGATCCCCGTGTTGTTGTTACCGGAAGTATTAGGGGTGTTTCCAGCTGATCCACACTCAACAGGAACTCCTCTCCCCGTGTGTGTGGCCCGAAGTGTGGCCGCTGTCTGTGCGTTTCTCCCGGGTCGAAAGACACCACGGACAGCGGGCTCGGAGCACCACAAGCCCGGGACCTGCTGCGATCTGCGTGTCCCAACAAACAGCACTCCAGGCCCCTCACTGCTCAGCGCTGTAGCCGCTGTCGGTGCTGGTTAGCTCACACTGTCATGGTCCCAGCGCGGAGAGATGGCGTCTTTACCGGGATTGTGCAAGGCTGTCTGCCCCGCTGTGGAGGAGGACAACGGAGACCTGGACCACTCTCTGGGGCAGATGCTGAAGGCCATTGCAGACGAACGAAACCGACTCAACATCAGACAGGAGCTCAGTGGACTCGGTGAGGGTCTGTGTCTGTGTCTGTCTGTGTGTGTGTGTGTTCATGTGTGTGTGTGTGTGTGTGTGTTCTTTCCGATTATCTATTATGATGTGTGACTGCCCGACAATGCAAACCCGCCATTCAGACAGAATGAATCAGAATGAATATATTGTTATTTGTTTAGCAAAGATAAAAAAATAAAAAGTACACAACAAACCTGTTGCCCTGTGCCCACGTCTTATCCGTACTATACTTGATAAATATAAATCTATGTACTGAAGATTATACTCAGGAATACCAGGCAAAACAATTGATCAACCAATTATTTCAGGTTCAGCCAAAGTGTTTTTTTTTTAAATTATCTAACTAATCAAATGTGACTAAAGTTACAAAATACACGATCCTTTCCCCCTGTCTTCAGAGTAGACTCATATCACTGAAGTTATCTTAGATATGTGTCCTGTCCACTGTTATTCTGAAACAGCTCTAGGTCAATTGCTTGTGAAGCAAATAGAGCGTGATTGCGTCAATCAGTTTTAACCTTTTGTATTATTTTTTCTTAGATTAGACTATATACTATTGCTGAATGACGCATTGTTATTAAGACGTCCTCAACATGATTTGTTCCACTTCCTATTACTTTGTGTATGTAATATGTGTTTAATATGCAAACAGTAACTCGAATGGGGATGGCTGTGCTGCCATCAATCTAACAGAGGGCCTTTAGTGTTAAACCAGTTCAGAGACACGTGACGTCTTCTGCATGAGCAAATTCTGCATGTCATCAATTCTTCATCGTGTAGTGATAGTCACATGACTGACACTGGTTCAGCTGACTTGTAGTCTGTGTGACTTTGTGGCATTCGAATGGAGGAGTACAAATACAAAATATAATATAAATGACAGTGCTTTACCTCCCTGGGGAAGTGTTCCTGGCACGTCCCACCGGGAGGAGGCCCCGGGGAAGACCCAGGACACGCTGGAGGGACTATGTCTCTCAGCTGGCCTGGGAACGCCTTGGAGTCCCCCCGGACGAGCTGGAGGAAGTGTTTGTGGATAGGGAAGTCTGGGCGTCTCTGCTTAGACTGCTGCCCCCAGCGACCCTTCAACGGATGAAGCGGAAGAAAATGGATGGATGGATGGATGGATGACAGTGCTTTTAAAAAGTCTACTACTCTTTTCCCAAATTTGTCTCTCTACGACCACAAAGATATTCACTTCCGCTTAATCCAATGCCGGGGCACCGGGACAGAGACGCACAACTCCCTTATCCACACACAATTTCTTCAACTCATTCGGGGGAATCACGAAGCTTGTCTCTCAGAAGCCAGGCTAGCTGAGAGACATATCCCTCCAACATGCCCTGGGTGTTCTCTGGATGCCCGAGCCATATCAACTGGCTGGGTACTCCCCCTGTGCTCCACCTGTGCTCCACCTGTGTTCCACCTGTGCTCCATCTGTGCTCCGCTTATATCCGTCATCTCGGTATCCGGGTCATTACCCAAAGCTCATGGCCATAAGTGAGGGTACAAAACGTAGACTGACCAGTAAATTGAGAGCTTTGTCTTTTGACTCATTGAATCTTTCCCACAACAGTCCTATACAGCGACTGCATTTTCAGCACCTTATTCAAGGTATTGTATTGCGTTAATCAGCAGAGGTTTTTTAGCACGACTCGTTTATTTTTAAATATGATGCTCTATAAGACTATACATAGCTGCTTGCTGTTTTCAGGCATTATCTGCTGCATCTAACCCTGATGTGAGACACCCTGAAAAACCTTCTTCGGTGCAGATGTCGAGTTGTATGAGTGTATTGGATACTGTGGTAACAACATCTACTGCCATTATCTTAAATGTGTAGGATGGCTAAAACTAACATTTGGATTACTGTAATATACAGTCAGCTTACATAGAATGTTATGCTGACTATATTTATTAAATTATTACTCCCAATTACAATTGATGACAATACAAATGTTTACAATACATGATTTATTGATTTATGATGGTTTATTACAAGATATGTAATATCTTGTAATAAACCATGTAAAGAATAGTATTAGTTTGACCACACAATATTAGTTTGACCACACAATATTAGTTTGACCACACAATATTAGTTTGACCACACAACCTGTATTAGGTAAGAACGTATTAGAGGTAATGGTGGCTGTAATTGTAGGTCCCCTCCTGTGTCGGGGGCCTGTTCTATCACCCTCAGGGCTGTGCGGGGATGGGCATCTGCTAATTCCATTACTTGTGCCTATTTTTTGCTGGTTGTATTCATCTTTATGGTGCTTGGTGTCTGTCACTGTTGCAGGTTGCTTTAAGGATGACCGCATTGTTTTTTGGACATGGATGTTTTCTACATACTTTATGGAGAAATGGGCTCCTCGACAAGATGACATGCTCTTCTATGTTCGGCGGAAGTTGTCTTATGTAAACACTGACAACACAGACGGAAAAAAGGTTACAAATATTTTTATTATAATTGCATTGCAGACATTTTAAGATTATCACATGTGACTTTTAACCAGGTGGAGGTTGAAGTGTTCAGGAGAGACTCTAAGAAACTGCCAGGCCTGGGAGAACCTGACATAGACTGGGAGGAGAGCGTCTACCTTAATCTTATTCTACAAAAAGTAATAAGAAAACAAGCCGTCTCATACGTGTTTGTTCATTAAATGGATTCATCTCATTGTCGTCAAAATTGTATTTTTCTCCAGTTGGATTACGTCGTGACATGCGCAGTCTGCACACGCTCAGACGCAGGCGATATCCACATCCATAAAAAGAAATGTCAGGTGTGGGAGGACTCAGACAAGACAACTATTCTATTGAACCTTTTCAGCTCTTTACAGTGTATATATGTATTTAAATACTTCTTCCAGGAGGTGTTTGCTTCACCCAGTAAACATGCCATGGACAGCAAAGGAGAAGAGTCAAAGATGAGTTACCCAAACATCTTCTTCATGATTGACAACTTTGAAGAGGTGAGACAGTTTCTTCGGTACTGTAGTGGCTATAGTTACTGTAGGAAAAGTAGCAAGTTTGGGAGGCTCTCTCAACTTACAAATTTAGATAAACTCAATGTGAAAACTTCTCTTCTCTAGATTGATTTAGTTAAAGGTGCAGTAAGCACTTTTGTTAGCTTAGCCGTAGCACCAACTCGAAACCACTCCCCCCTCCCCTCTCCACCAAACCAAACATCCAGCATTTTCTTTTCTTTGTCACAGCAGGGAGAGTGGGTGGAAAACGTGAAATTGGCATTTATTTGTAAATCCATTTTAGGTTTTAGAAAATCTGATAACTCAGGTGCGCGCACTCGCGAGAAACAGGAAGAGGGTGAAGGGGGTAAACACATCCCATTGGTTCGTTGGGGATGAACAAATCCCATTGATTTTTATCAGTCCGTTCCAAAATATTTTTTATTAATTTGTGGAGACTATAGGTATCTGGTCAATTCCATTATTATTTGAAAACACATGAGAACTTTTCTACCTTTTGGGTTATTTTGGGACGTTTTCCCACAATATTAAAAAAAAAATGCGTCTGGAAAAAGAACTGACTGCATTTTTAAACTGAAAATTAGTTGGTTATGTTTTTCTGGTAAAAACAAAAGGTGGGACTCTGTTGTGTTTTTGTTGTTGTAGGTGTTCAATGATATGACAGTGGGAGAGGGAGAGATGGTGTGCGTAGAGCTGGTAGCCAGTGATAAAAGCAACACTTTCCAGGGAGTCATCTTCCAGGGATCCATTCGATACGAAGCATTGAGAAAAGTCTACGATAACCGGGTGAGGCCCATGGAATTATGACAGTTTGAATCATGCTATACAAACTGCTGAAAACATGTTACAGTATTATATGTAATGAAGAACTAAATGATTATTTGTCTGCGCTGTAGGTCAGTGTTGCTGCTAAAATGGCCCAACGGATGTCATTTGGTTTTTATAAATACAACAACATGGAATTTGTGAGAATGAAAGGTCCTCAAGGCAAAGGCCATGCAGAAATGGCTGTTAGCAGAGTCCCCACTGGCGACACGTCGCCTTGTGGCACAGAGGAAGACCCGATGTCGCCAATGCATGAGAAGGTAAGATGACCTTTTGCTAAATAAGTTAAATGAGGTTGTAATCAATAATAAAAGTAATTCAATTTGATCATTTATTGTGAATGGTATCGTGCAATGTAGTTTTATTTTTAACAACTGGTTAAAATTGATATTGTTATTAAAGTTTGTGACAAATGTACCATGAATGTCATCAACTTTTCAATCTACGTATGTTACCACACTCGCCTATGATCATGAGCTGTAGGAAGTGTGCATGGATGATTATGATGACATTTTAATTACATGGCGCCTTTCTGAGCACTCAAGGTCGCCTTACAAAAGTGGTGCAGAAAGTTGAATGCGAATAACAGTTAAAAATAGTGAACAGTGGAATGTAGGATCACAGTGAACAGTCTGAATAGGTGTGTTTTAAGTGCGGTTTGAAAATGTGGGACAGTGTCAGTGTTGCGGAGGTCAGGGGGAAGGGAGTTCCAGAGCTGGGGAGTAGAGCAGCTGAATGCTCTGCTCCCCATGGAGACGAGGCGGGAGGAGCTCAGATGGATGTGGAGAGGCAAGTTGGTGGATGGCTCTGAAAGTGAGAAGCAGGATTTTGTACTGATTGCGGTGGGTGATGGGGAGCCAGTTGAGCTGTTGAAGGACAGGGGTGATGTGGTTAATGGGGAAGTCTCACTCCTGACAATGGATGGATAAGAAAGCACGAGCCCCAGTGATCGAGTGTGCTCACTTACTTTGCTCTGCTCACCCACAAAAAACTTCTTTTTTCTTTTTTTAAGCTCAGTATTTGTAAATATGTATTGCAGGTAACATCGTTCAGCACACCTCCAACCCCAGAAAGAAACCGACCCTCCTTCTTCTCACCATCACTACGCCGCAAAGTACCTCGAAACCGAATTGCTGAAATGAAGAAGTCTCACTCTGCCAATGACAGCGAAGAGTTTTTCAGGGAGGAGGAGGATGAAGGTTTGGCTTTTTACTCATCGTTTCACAATATTCCATAATGTGTATAAGTATATAAGGCATACATTTCAGCAGTGGTATCTCGAAAGAGAGACTGATACATTTTTTGCATTCTAGAAGTAGCACTTGCTTGCGGTGATAACTACAATAATAAGTCAAAATCCTCATTTCTAAACCGCTATAATCCCACACATGCAAAACTGTGGAACATAAACATCCAAGACAAAAATAACACAGTGAACCTGTGTATCTGTAAATACATTATGATTGCTTCACGATGGGCTGTAGTGTGCCTTAAAGATATTGGATTTAGTTATTTAGGTTTTAAATTTTTGGAATTTCCTTTTTTTGCTAGATATCCACACAGCCACCAACCTGCGCTCGCGATCTTTATCGGGAACCGGGCGCTCCCTCGTGGGCTCTTGGCTCAAACTCAATCGAACGGACGACTACTTCCTGCTCTACTCCCACCTGACCTACATCACTCTACCGCTGCACCGCATCACTGCAGGTTTTGCTACGTCATGTTTCTCTTTAGAGTCTAAATGACATGTTTTTATAGTTATAATTGTTCATAAGAATAAGTATGAGCGTGAGTGTACTGAAGTTCCTCTGTTTTTTTACCTTCTTGGTGACCCATTTTTTGATTTTTGCCCAAATCACAAAGAACCAGCGTTTTTGTCTCTTGGGGGTACAGGGGTTGGTGCGATATCCAAAAGTATTTGGATCCAGGTTCAAGAGAAGGGAAAAGTTGCTCATCCTCTTTTCTTCCTTCCTGTGCACTCCCGCTGTGGACAGTTCTGAATAGACGATGTCAATAAAAGTCACTGACTGTCGCTAGAATTAATACACAATGTTTGTCTTGATGGCTTAGAAACATTGAACTTCACTTCAACCAAAGCCTAAATTAACTTTCAGGTCATTTGTCATCTGTCAGAGAGATGATGAGCGAAGGGGCAGCTGTTGGCCCCGAAAAGAGGTCCCTTTGCTGCGCCCAGATAAATACTAGGGTTAGGAAAAAGTTATTTAGAAGAAGGGTACCAGGACCTGTGCAATTTGGGCCTGGCTTACATTTCAGGGCAAAAAAACTGCAAGGTGTCTAATAAGTCCTGTGTAAAAAGTACAAAGGGATCTGTTTATGGTCTGGATTTTTTGAATTACAAAGTACAGTGTATTCCAAACAGTGTTCCAGTCTTCTCCCATCATAACAACAGCTCCAATCGTACGTAGTCTGTGCTAAAGACTTGACGGATTCTCTTTTCATCAGAATCTGATTTTTTTTTTTATTGCCATTGTAAGTTGCAGGAAGTCACAAACTAGGAATTTGCTTTGGCTAGTGTACTTTTATATAGTGTGTATAAAAGTAAAAAAAACATTCATATAATCATAAAATTCTTTCTACTTTTTACAAGTACACACTATGTCCACTCAATAGACTTTTAACAGTGGAATAATGTATGTTGATTAACTGAATGTGTTGTGACTGAAGTTGCATTTTTGCATTTCCACCCATAGATATCCTGGAGGTGCGGCAGAAGCCCATTCTGATGACATAGCAGGATGTCCCCAGATCTTCACGACCAAGTGCCTCACTGCTGTAGGCTACTGAGCGAGACAACAGCGCCACCTGGAGTCAAACTGTTGCAAACATCTGAGACGATCAAAACCAGCCATTCAAGAAGTGCCTCCTCTTTCATTTAATTTCCTGCTGTTTGGACAGGAAGGCCGTTTCCATGGAAACAGCTGCGGGGAGGAGCACGTGAGCGGCTGTGAAATGGCTGAACTGGAGAATAAGCGAATGTCACTCTTCCTGTAAATATCCTGCTGCTTTTGTCATCATGGACACTATGCGATTGGATCTTTCTATGTTGTCCCCACTGCAGCAGGTGCTTCTATCTCGTTCGTTTGATGTTGCTTTGGTGGAGCAAGAAGAGTTGGTGAAATGAGAGAGTTCAACCTGGGTCAAAACCAGGCGTTAGAAAACTATTCCGGCTGTTAACACAACTGCTTCAAGTTGTACATCATTGGACTCATATGTTCATTATGTATCGATATATTCTTTATTATTTCTGTTTATTTTTTACATGTGTTTTCTTTGTTAAAAAGGGATTAGATATGGTCAAGGGAGACGCTATTTCAAAGTTAAACAATACAATTGTTGAAGAAATTGTATAAAACAAGGAAGCTATTGGTCTGTGGTGCATATAGAAACTTTTTTTAACTTGCTGTTGTTACTAGCTTGTTATATTTTGTTTTGACCCAGCATGCAAGAACAAATTAAACAGATCAGAAAGGGAAGAGAAGTTTGGATTTGGAGTTCAGCAGATTCCATAATGACTTTACAACTCTTTTCTCTCGAGTGTGCTCCTCAAGCCTTGTATGTACTTTTGGTTTTTGATTTCATGTACATTATTTCTCACAAACGACCAGCCGAGGCTTCCAAAGATCCATTGATCGTATCCCTTTTTCACTCATCTGTGTTCACGCTGGTATATCTGTGTATGTGTGATTTTTTTTTGTTTTTGTTTATATATGTGAAGCAAACTCTTCCCTTTGAATACTTTTAACTTCCCAAATCCAAAAGGGACGGTCATTATGATTGGTCAATATGTGCTGCAAGTCGGGACATTAGCATAAGCACCGGTTTGCACTCAGAGATGAAGCCATTGATCAAAGTAATCAGTGTTGTGCGTTTGTGTGTGTGGATTATACACTAAAGTGGAGCACCTTCCAGTGTTGTATGATAAATATATAGTTGAGTTCCTCCACCTGAATGTAGGCTGCTTGATGGCAAACATTGCTTTAAATATTTGATACTACAAGCTAAATCCCAGTGTGCAGTGTAAAAGCGACTTCTTTTCTAACTATTACGCTTTTGCTGTCTTTGTCAGCTTTTGTACACACATTCAACAATGTGCATGTTAGTTCACTTGTTTTTGTTTCCAAAACTGTTGCCTGTATATTTTCATGTACTTATTTATTAAATTGTACCTTAGGGAAAAAATTGATTGAGTTGTCTTAATATAATCATGAGTTATACATCACTATAAGGTGAAGATGTACATTATCCCCGTAAGGGAGTTTGTCCTCCTGCATTTGACCAATTCTTCAATGCCACCTGTGAGGAGCAGACATCTTCAACATGAAGATGGGTCCTGTATAAATGAGTTTTAACTATATAGTTAAGTACAACTATGGATCTATAATAATATCGGTTACAATCAGAATCAGAATCAGAATAATTTTTATTGCCACGTAAGTAACAGGAGGTCACAGACTAGGAAATTGCTTTGGCTCAGTGCAACAGTCAAAAAGAGATTACAACCCGTACTTATGATTACAACAGTGGCTGACTGTTATCTTAGCTAATAATAAACAAAACATGTAACGCCATATTTTGCAGCAAAATGTTAGAATAAATGTTGTACAAAAGCCGCACTTGAATATATGTAGCAGGTTTTCATGTTTCATGTAATTACTGATGGACGGCTAATAGAGCCAAACAATAGTCAACAGTTATTTTTTACCGGACACAACATAATTAATGACAAGGTGTTTAACAGCTTAACTTTTAGCTTCTATGACAGGACTCATTCCCCAATCTATTTGGACAAAAATATACATCTTATTACTAAAACTTACTAAAGGTCAAAATAGTCCATACAGTCTGCTCTGACAGGAGCCAAACTCTACCACAAAAAGTTTCAGTTGGTTGTCCTGCAATTACGTAGAATCGTTTGTTTTTTTTATTAGTAGTTTTAGTAGTTTTATTTTACTATTATAGAAGTGCCTGGTCACGTGGGCTGCAGTGGTTCCGGTGTGGCGTATTTGACGTGGCTCCGCCCTCCGACTTCCTCTTTTACTGGTGCAGTGAGCGAAAGGCACCATGAAGGCGTCCGGCACAGTATGTAACACTGTTTTTACTCTCAATTTACGGCCACAAAGCACATACTCCGCGCCAAGCAGTGAACGAACCTACGTTACATCTGCCATCAGTCCAAATTGTTGAGTAGAAGCAGATCTTTAATGTTTAATACGGCGTTTACTTACGGAGTTTCAGCGGCTGCAACATGGCGCCGACCACACCATGTGCACGGACAGACCTGTGATGAGATCAAAGCTCCCAAACTCCGTCTCTTTTCAAATGACTCAAACCAGAGTGTCTCTTCTTTAAAAACTACATTATTACGGGACAGTGCGGTTTCTAGCCAAATATAATGTCAGCGTTGTCGACTATTCATCATTTGTTCGATAGCAATGGCGTGTACAGGCTTGCTGCAGCTTGATGTAGTTTTTGTAAAAACCATGATTGAAGTTTTATACTTCTGTGTATTTATACTTCAGCTTTGATAGTTTGAAGTGACAACTTTGATAAAAAATAAAAGCAACATTAATTTAGTGAAAATAGAACGTACTTCATTAACCCTTTGATAGATCACCTTTGAGTCACTATTTACTTGAAGCATGTTTGGACGTGAGATTCCTCTTTAGGGCATTTTGCACTTTTACCATCAAACTGCATCCCAACTATTTGAAGGCATATAATAAAATAGGGGTTAAACAAAGTGCTCCTACATCTTAGATAATCCCAAGAATGATAAAATCGCACTGCTTTCCAGTGAACATTAGATCATTTGTCCAACAGTGGGGAAATTTCATTTGGATCAGAACTAGTAGTTTTGTCACTTTATAGCAGTAAAGTCTCTTGAATGACAATGTAACTGTTTTGCTCAATGACAGTAAAAACTACTGGGTGTAACGTGCAGTTTTTTAAAATGGTATGATCTCGCCTGGTGTGCAAGTAACAAAGGTTCCTTGTTGCTTTTTTATGTGTCTTGAAAGTGAATTCAAGGAATAACATTTATGGCATCCGAAACTGTCTTTCAGCTGAGGGAGTATAAAGTCATTGGGCGTCTGCTGCCCTCTGCCAAGAACCCCGCACCTCCTCTCTATCGGATGAGGATTTTCGCCCCCAACCATGTTGTGGCCAAGTCTCGCTTCTGGTACTTTGTCTCTCAACTGAGAAAAATGAAGAAGGCTTCTGGTGAGACTGTCTACTGTGGACTGGTAAGTAGAGGTGCAAGTCTCTTGTGTGCTTAAATTCAGTTTGTCCAATCTTTTGTTCTGTTGTCCATCGTCAGGTTCATGAGAAGACTCCACTGAAGGTGAAGAACTTTGGTATCTGGCTGCGTTATGACTCTCGTAGTGGCACCCACAACATGTACAGAGAGTACAGGGATCTGACGACCTCTGGAGCTGTCACTCAGTGCTGTAAGTCACAACTTGACTGGATGTTTGTTATCCAATAACTTTTGTGGAATTACTTGTGCAAAATTAAAATGTTAAGACTATATTACATGGGCTGTAATCTCCCAATAAGTAGTTATGATCAACTAGTGGAAGATTCAAATAAATGTTGATCCCACAATGGGAGATATGTGCATGGTACGATTGACTTCAATAACTTCACTCAAGGTGTACTACTTCCATAGTAAAGCATCCACTAAACCAGTTTGCTCATCTCCTTCACGTTCCCCTGGAAAAGTGTGGCCAGACTCGACGTCCTACGCGACACTTATACATAATTCTAATTGAAAGTGTGTAATTAAAACAATGCTTCCAAATGTGGGCATTGGTGTCATTGTGCAATTAATCTGTTATTACACTTCAAGTCATTCTGAAAGTGTTAATCTTTTACAGCAAAAACAAACGCACCCTGCTCGTTCAGTTTATATCCCGAATTAGGATTTTCTCTATTGCTACTGCTTATAGTACTTGATACACTGATTTAATCGGATATCAGTACTGATATTGGGAATATTTTTGTCTCTGTATCTGTTATATCATGACATCGGTTAAGCAGAAACCCTGATTTAGGTGTTTAAGTTGATATAAAACCATTGACAACCCAGAGTGTATTTGTTCCTCAGTTCAGTAGTTACTTGCAGGGTAATGCTTGAGCACAATTGGAAACATTTTGTAGTGAATTTAGCTGTGATTCATGTTTTGGTCATTATTTGGAATAAGTTCTTATTCGCTAAAGGAGGATGTTGAAAGTCACAGCATTGATCAGAATCGAACATGCAAAATAGTTTAAGTGTGATCTTTAACTGATGACGCTACAGGTCCAAAAACATTGAAAATCTTTAATGCATCTTTTTTTGTTAATTTTATATTTCCTGTCTTACTACAGATCGTGATATGGGAGCTCGCCATCGTGCCCGCGCACACGCTATCCAGATCATGAAGGTTCAGATTATCCCTGCCAACAAATGCCGCAGGCCTGCGATCAAGCAGTTCCACGTGAGTATAATTCATACATGCATTGAAGCGGGTCTCTCTCTGGCCTGGCCGTCTTTGTCAGTGCCAGTCTACCAACCTGCAAGAGTACTGTCCAGATTCCTCTTCCAGCTTTTTATATTTTACCAAAAAACCTGGTGGTTAGAAACTGGCAACATGTTTACGTAGAAACAACTTTTAATTTTGTGCACTTATTTGGACACCTTGTATTTGCAAATTCAAGTAAATTATTTCACAGTACCCGTTTTAAATTAGTAATATATAATTTAAGAGTTAAGGGTATATTGGAAAATGTTCTACTTTTCGGATGGATCAACAAGTATCTCCTATTGGCAATCATTCTGGTGCTCGTCAAAAAGACCAGTTATGTTCAAATAGAGCGGTTTGTTCCTAAAATTTGGGCAAATCCTCCCATACAACACCAACCGCATATAAAACAGCATGCTGGTACACATTACAATTGGCAACCCGAGATAAAAGATGTAAACACACCAATACAAACATGTGTTTTGTCTGTACCTTTCAATTTGAAGTCTTCAGTGGGTTATTTCTTTTGGAAATGTACAAAACTTGAAACTTGCTTTCCTGTTTCTTGATGTCCAGTGACATGTTGCACTTGGAATTATCAGCAACATTTGGCTAACATCGTTAACTTCAAATGTTGTCCAAATGATCCCATTCCTAATCTTTACCTGTTGTGTGTAGGACTCCAAGATCAAGTTCCCTCTGCCTCACAGGGTCCTGCGCCGCCAGCACAAGCCACGTTTCACCACCAAGAGACCAAACACCTTCTTCTAAACATATTTTTGTGGTTTTGTGCAAAAATAAACATTCAAAATACAAAGGTTGTCTTCAGTTTGTATTGAACCTTTGCCCCTGAGACTTGGGTAATTGCAGAAGTTGTACCCCGTGCAGTCTGAGAAACATAATGGATCTTTACCTGTTAGAGACGACATGCAGTAGAAATATGGTTTTGCACATTTTCTAGGTGCCCATTTCTCAAACACACCTTAAAAAGGTCTTGAAGTGTCATAACTGCTTCACAGCACCAGATATCGTATGAATACCTTTAAACAGTTTTAACTTCAGTTCGATCTGATGTTAGAGGATGAGTCGCTTGAACATAGCCTATGAGGAATGGTCTAATCACTGGACCTTTCATTTCACCTCTCCTGGCTATAGCCACACAAGTCTTATTTGGCCTGCTCCCAACTCAGGGAAAATGTCTGAAGCCCACATTTAGTGTAACAATTATTTTGCACAAAAGTAATCTCTACATAGCACTTTTTTACAGGCCAAGGTTACCCAAAGCGGTTTACAATGTTCAAAAGACTGAGCTTTCACTCAACTGTCCCATTTTCACCTTTTGGTACTTACACGTTTAATCCACAAGATGGCAGTGTGGTGTCACAAAAGGGTACAACGGTTGTGCACCACTAGTGTTAATTTAAAGGCACTTTTATACAAACTATGTAGGGGCCTACGACCAAGTACTTGGATGTATTATCAATTCACCCAAAAAAAACTACATTATATTCGATATAGTCAAAATTTAAGGGCCAGTAGGCAATTTCAGGACGCCTTTTGTTTAGGAATATCAAGCTGATATTGTCTATAGACTAAAGTTTAAGATCTATGGCATCCATATTTCTGTAGGAATTCATCTGTTTTGAAGATGGGAGGAACTTGTGTTGGAGAAATACTTGCGTATTCAAGATACGGCCGTGTAAGCTGTCCCTGTAATGCAGTTGCTCTGCAGAGCTCAGGGAGGTAACAGTGGGAGGTTTGACTGGGTGTATACTACAGAGAAGACCTCACTCAGTGATGGAAAACTTTCTTTTAAATGCGTCACTGCCATTAAGAAGTAAAATCCTTACAGATCTCCCAAAACGGCTGAAAACTTGACATCACCATGTTTGGGAGGTATGGGAGACACACTCCAACACAAACATGAACAAGTGGATTCCAACTGGTGATTTTAATAGTTTATTAAATTCTAATATAGAACCCCATATTTATGTGCACACTTCCCAGTAATAGTTTCCAGTATTTGTAAGCCGCCTTTAAAGTGCCCTGGGCAAGAATCTGGTTATTACCCCAAATATAAAGGCAGCACAGAGATACTTAGTATACAGCAGGTTTATTGTTGGAAGTGAAAATTGTAGGCCCAATACTGAGTAGGCTATGTTGTAATGTAGAAGTCGAACATGCATTTAAGTATAGGCCTCAGATGGCGTTTTAGTTATAATGGTCATGTTTTTACACTGTAAAACACACTACAGTAAAATTCTGTTCTAATGTTGAACAAGTTGTTTGTTAATGAGAATCAACTAAAATAAACTTCTGACTGTATGTGCCCTTTCTACATCCTCTGTGACATACTAAATTTAGCTAAAGTTTTCCCTTTTTGCCATTATGTTTATTGATTCATGATGAGCGCCTAATGTGCAGACACACGGGTCTAACTGAGGTGCAGAGGTTTGGGGCTGACCGCAGTCTGGTCTTGGTCGTTGCCAGGTTTACCCTGAGGTCTGGGCTTTAGGCTGAGCAGGAGGTGGCAGCGAGGCCTTGTGGCAAAACATCAAGCCACAGAATCCACAGAATCCACAGGGCATAAAGGCTCTTCGTGTCGACCAGGACCAGCGGACACTGACAGGCAGCAGGGACAGGAGCGCGGGGTATTGTTCTACAGGAGTACGTCTATATATGTGGATATATACTGGTGACAGATAATATGTCCACAATAGTCTGAACATTTGGCATTTTCCAATGGGAGAAGCAAAAATTCTCCCTAATGACAAAAAAAATGCATCTGCACTTGAAATCGACACAACCACTGAACTATCTCAGTACCAATGAAAGAATATAATCTAGTACGAATACCAAATTGTAAACAACTTACAGCGTTGAAACGTACCCACTCTGACGTCACCAAGGGCTGTGAAGTGTTTTCGTCTCTAAGGGCGTTGCTATGGGGTTATTTCGATTTGGGGGGATCAGACAAAAAAAACAACTGATTGTGAAACCTTTAGTAGTTCTCTTCTAATATAAAATGGTATTAAAACTGTATTTCTAAATAAATCAAACCCGGCATAAGGTCTTTGGGTGCAAGTAAAGACTTTACCGTTAAGAGCGTAGTTTAACCTGAGAAATTACCAAAACTAAGTTAGGGGCAATACTTTTAAAGCACTAAACTGCTCTGAGCGCGATGTCATAGTGATGTCATAGTGATGTCATAGTGGTGTATCATTGACATTTATTATGACTATCACAGAATGAGACCGGAACTTTAAGACAGAAGAGGCAGAGTTACATGTTGGTGCCAGAACTTCCTGATATTAGCGTGGATGGATCTAAGAGCAGCTCCAGGTGTGTGACTAATGAGGAACAATGTTGTAACAGTTAAAAACTCAACAGGTCGATTTTGAATGATATGTCTCCTTTAATGTTTATCTTGACTGTTCGCAGTGAAGTGTGTCGTTAATCAGAACAGTCGCCATAGTGCTGATATCCGTCCAAAGGTGTTCCCATAGGTTTGTGTTGATTTCTGAATGACTTGGTAAATTCAGTGCTGACAGACTGAGCCACATTTTCAATCCAATGGTCCATAAAAGACGTCTTATGCCATCTTGAATTCGTAGCAGTTATTTGTCATTTTAGAGTAACTTCAGTTGTTAAACATTGCTGTGTGGCCAAAACACACCAAGAAGAGTATCTTTTCTCATTTTATTGGACAAAAGTGTTTGCCGGCTCAGCAAAATCTACAACCTGTGGCCTTAAGCCTAATACCGTTTGAGTGGCAGACTGTAAACCTGCCCAGCGCTCAGGCCCAGCACAGATCAGGATTTACGTCTGAATGTCTCCAGTCTGTTCTCTGAGGAGACGCTCCATCCAATTTCAAGAACACGTCTCAGCCAATAGCCCACTTAACAACTGTGAAGGAAGGCAAGGCCAGTTTATTTGTATAGGACATTTCATACACAAGGCATCTGAAAAGGCTTTACAAAACAAGAAAGGAAGTAGGCAAGCCCTATATACGCACACAAAGCGCTTCACAATTGCATTAAAATACAGTTTAAAATGTACATTGAAATTTAAAAGGCCAAAACCACTCTTTGACAATCATAACAGCAGAACAATTTCAGCAAACGCCTTATATCATTTTTATACTAATACATAGGTCTTAAGCTATTCTCTCAAGGGACTGGCCCCCTATGGTCCTGAAGGATCTGCCTCCTCTGGTTCTGAAGGATCTGCCGCCTCTGGTCCTGAAGGATCTGCCTCCTCTGGTCCTGAAGGATCTGCCTCCTCTGGTCCTGAAGGATCTGCCTCCTCTGGTCCTGAAGGATCTGCCTCCTCTGGTCCTGAAGGATCTGCCGCCTCTGGTCCTGAAGGATCTGCCTCCTCTGGTCCTGAAGGATCTGCCTCCTCTGGTCCTGAAGGATCTGCCTCCTCTGGTCCTGACGGATCTGCCGCCTCTGGTCCTGAAGGATCTGCCTCCTCTGGTCCTGAAGGATCTGCCTCCTCTGGTCCTGAAGGATCTGCCTCCTCTGGTCCTGAAGGATCTGCCGCCTCTGGTCCTGGGGGATTGGTCTCCTTTGTTCCTGAACATAGACTGTATATATTAACGGACGTAGTCACGCCTATCTCTGCCGTTCTAACTAATGGGCAAAAATTGGGCTCTCATGGAGTAATTCAAAATGGCCGCGGGGGCTGGAAAATGTGAAAAAACGCATCTGCACATGCGTCAGCCGGCACGAGCCCCATTCATTTAAACGAGTGACTTAAAAAATTCACAGCAAGTAAACTAGACTGGTCCAAAAAAATTCACCCCCCTCAGCATTGACACACATGTGGAACGGAGCTTTGGGCCAAGAGCCAACTTTTGGACCATCCTGTAAAGACGTTTTTGAGAGGTAAGAAGATGCTATATGTTAGCATTGGCTAATTCTTATTCCGGGTCCACCCCCATCGGCCCGGGGTGGTATTGCAAGCATGTCCGTCATTTTGGCCACTTTTGATCCGAGACCCGCCCCCACTGGTCCTGAAGGATTGGTCTTCAGCTTTGTGCAAGTTTAGCTGGAGTGATAGATCAGACAAAACAATTACAGCTGTTTGGACATAAATGTGATTGTATTTCTATCAGTACGTTTTGACCTTTCGCATACTCTTCAGATCTGACCCCTGCCCATCGCACTGGGGCACTGCTGCAAAAGGACTTAGCCTGCTGTCATGTTGTTCTTCGGTCTGAGGACACTTCCACCTCCGCTGGTCATCAAGGAAAGCTCAAGCGCTGCTCGTTAATCCTATTATCGTACATGGAAGGGTGTTTTTTCAGGTAATTGCCTAAATTATTCAATTTGTCTGTTTTGAGAGTAATGTTTGGATAACTAATTTATAGGAGACAGTTTCCACAAGGAGTAGACATGTGGTGTGGCAGTCCGAGTATAAAACATGGTTATGCCACAAATTTGAGGGTGCATGATACAACTTTCTATGTGAAAAAACAAATTATATCAAACAGTAGATTTATTTGAATATTTCACCTTGTAGTTCCCCCGTAAGAGTGAACACAACCTTGGTTGAAACTAAAGGCACCATCCATTAGTTTTGATCATAGTTGCGTCTCCAGCGCTCGATGTTCTTTCTGCCTGTTAAGCACCCGGCTTCTGCATGAATGGTGCTTTATGAAAACATTCGCCTTGTCCAAATGCTTCCAGGATCATTTGTTTTGTGGTGAAAGGGTCTGTCAATTGAGGCCCGTCTGTGGGAGCGGATCCCTTCCTCAAAGTGGGCCTACCAAGGTTTCTGTTTTCCCACTGTTTTTTTTTTTTTTGCATTGCTCCTCGCTGATGCAGGAGGGTCAAAGGACAGTGTTGAAGTTCAGACCTTTTATGTACATTGGTCATCTGCCCCAAAATACAAATGTTTTATATTATATCATTGCATTTCCTTTTGTTGCGGCCAATTTAGTTACCTACTATTGTCCAATTTTTTGGGCTTATAATAAGTTATAAGTTTAATTGGCACTATTATTATTGTTAATAATAGTGCAGCTCGGGGTGGAGATAGCTAGTAGGGTTAGTAGGCACTACTACTACTACTAAAACTGTTGTTGTGATTTAGGGCTATGCAAAATTAAATTCAGCTGAATTGAATTGAGGCAATCTTACAAACAATTGACCCAATAGCATCCTAGAGACCGGTGTGATGGAAAGTAAAGGCCCCATACTGACCATACAGCCACAGGGGCACAAGGTAAAATATCTCAAATACATCAACTTTTTTCTACATCAAAAGTTGCAAAATACACCAAAATCTTTTATACAGATCTCTACATATTCTGCTTGAAATGTCAAGATGAAATTACCAAAGTGCATGTACGTAATGACACATAACTGATGGTAATTCTACAATCTTTTTTCTATTTTTATGAGACATTCGTTGATGACACAGAGTTAGACAATCAGCATCTTGGAGCCAGAGTTGTGGCCCACTCCCATCCAAATCATAACAAGGAAGAACCGTTTTGAGTGACGACTCCACGCCCGCGGACGGTAATTCAAGCTGGGGCGGATCACACGTCCTGAGTCCTGGAGGATGGGCGGATGTGGATTTCCTTACACCTCCACTGCAGAAATGGGCAAATAGATAAGAGTTCATCCACGCAGCTGCACGAATCTGGGGCAACCAAACTGACTGCAATGGCACAAAGTCTCAACATAAACATTACAAAGGCAATAATGTCATTTAATAAATAAAATATATACATTTTATGTATTGGGTGACTATGACTTGGGTGGCAACACTGATTGCCACCCCCTGACCCAGAGATGGATCAAGGGGTAGAAAATGGATGGATGGATGGATATACATTTTATATTGTAACTCATTAATAATGAAGTATAATTCATATTTATTGAATACAGCTATGAATGAAGCAATAGAGGTATTGTGTTGTTATTGTTGAGATATGTACAGTATTTTATGACAGAGATAACATTAAAGGGGAGGTTGTAGAAATCAAACGTGAAAAATATCAGAACACAACATGCTTCATCTTACAATCTATAAATAAAGATTACTACTACTACAAGACATTTTATCTTTTCAACCAACTTTTGAGCTGATTGGCTCAAAAGTTGAGTCCTTTCTCAGATTCAGATTCATTTATTTGCCATTTGCAGTAAAACCACATTCTTTTTGGGATCCTGTTCCTGCCAATCTTCAGGGTCTTGTAGAAGACCCGAGAGGAACACTGGTCAAATTAAAAGTACTATTTGCACCTCTGGTGTGCGAAAACAAAGTACAAGTACATTTATTAGCTTGGTCTCAACAGTTTAACCCATTTTTAAATCGTAAAACCTAAAAAGTACAAACATTTGTCTTTAAAAATAGTAAAGTAATCCTTTCGGGGTCGGCTACCAAATATCAAGAAATTGAAGATGGAACAAGAAGAATATTTAGCAAATTTCGTTGTTGAATATTGGAGTTTTAGTCATTAGTTAGTTGCTTTTATTCTTAGATTAGTTAGCTGAATTTAGCTTAAGACTTTTGTTAGTATTACTAGTGTTCTATATCGTGTGCAATTTCATTGTATATTGTTTATTGTACTTGTGTACAATAAATACTACTTTATGTTTGAGCGTGCGTTAAATTACTGTCTCTTTTGTGCACATTGGGGTATCATTATCCTTGGGGACAAGGAGGTGCAGTGGCCGCAGGTTATTGTGGCAGAGTTTAGACTTTTATAACTATATGACCATCACAACAAATACTTATCTTGGTCTGGGTTCATACATAAAATGTACAGACAAAACTGAAGAAATGAACCGCAACATAAGCGGTTACTGTACGGGAATATGGGAAGGCTACCTGTGACAAGCAGTTCGTACTTTTTATTCCACTCTAATAAAAAACACTTGCTATCATTTAGAAACAGGCCCCATTCTGTGGCAATCTGCTGCCTCAGCTGCCTCTGAGACAGGTTAGTTTTACCCTACTGATAATGTGTTGTTGCAATTGTAATCCTGCTCTGCTGCAGAGGCAGCTGCCGGTGGCCGCTAGCGGCGCTAGCTCTACTAGCCGCAAGCGGCGGCTCAAATTGATAGGGCTGGGGGCCACTGTCTGCCTCCTCTTTCTCAACAGAAGTCCTCCACCTCCTAAGACTGCACATAATCTATAGAGCTGGTGTCTGATCTCCCCATCTTTGACACGCCCAATGCTGATGTCAAGTGTCACTCACAGTCTAGACCCGCCCAACATTTACCCCCCACCTGTCCCCTTTAGTACTCCAGGCTACGCCCATTTAGAGAGAGATTTGAAAAGAAAATGTGAGTGACGTAAGGTTCAGCACTAGATCATATACGGAATCGACGGAAGCGGAAGTAAATATAACACACTACCTATTTATTCCTAAACTTAACCAGCCATTCCCATAAAATAACCCCAACCCAGCCTTAACCCTAACCTTAACCATCTTACTCAGACACCTAAAACTTAACCAGTCACCACTTAAGGACTTATTAGTCTAAAACTAATTCGAAAGTAGGATTGTTACTTCTGGTTTAGTCCCGATTCCGTATATGATCTAGTGCCGACCGTGACGTAAGCTCCGAGGAGCGGGGTGAGAAGTTCTTTAAAAGGACACTGTGTAATATTTAGTGCCATCTAGCGTTGAGATCTTAAATTGCAGTCTATTAAAGTACGGAAGACAGAGCTCCTCAACTCTCAGTCATTCACCAGACTGCCAAGGAAAGAATACTTTCATTTGAAAAATGACCGGATCTCTCCAAACGTCTCGGGCACTTGACAGTCACGTGGAGCCGACATGTAAACAAGACCGCGTTCAGACCTAGACTGTATATATTAACGGACAGAGTCACGCCTATCTCCGCCGTTCTAACTAAAGGGCCAAAAATGTGCTCTACTGGAGCAATCTAAAATGGCAGCGAGTGGTCCCGCCCACAAGAAGATTGTGAAAAAACACATCTACGCATGCGTCAGCCGGCGCAACTCCATTCATTTGGACGAGAGACTTCAAAAATTCACAGCGAGTAAACTAGAGTGGACCAAAAAAATTCACCCCCCTCAGCATTGACACACATGTGGAACGGAGCCAACTTTTGGTCCATCCTGTAAAGACGTTTTCGAGAGGTAATTCTTCTTCTGGGTCCACCCCCATCGGCCCGGGGTGGTATTGCAAGCATGTCAGGGCACGTCATTTTTGCCACTTTTGAGACGTGGCACCCTGCACAGAGGCTCTACTGAATTTTACCATGGATCTATTACAATATATTGTTTTACAAACGCGGTGTGAAGAGAAGAAACGCATGGAGGAATAACGTCTGTGGGAGCTTAAAACTACGATGATCAAAGAAGCAGGAGATATATATATAGATATTGAGAATGAGGAGTCACGTGCCGAGTTGGGGTGATTTGGGGGGGGCTCTGAGCCTGTCGGACATATTGGCTGCGCAACGGGGGCACGCCCCCAGAATTTCACGCGCTCCTCATATTCCAGAGCACTTTAAATTATACGCATTTACGTTTTCGGCGAGACAGAGACGGATCTACTGATACAACAAGGGAAAGGAAGACAGTAAAACAATGCTTAGAGATAAGGCGA